CTGAAGATATTTGGTTGAGATGGTTACCAACAACTTTAAAATATATAGCTTTTGAATGGTATATTTGGCAACCAGTGGGTAGATTTCTCAATTGAGAGGCCTTAAGGAATGCCTCCCTATCCCATTTTAGATCAATTGGATTTGAAAATCAGCTTCGAGAAAGTTTTATGAATAGCAAGATGTTCGCGGGGGAATCCATAGAGTCCTATTATGGCCAGATTGCGAATATATTTCGTAAATGGTGAAATAATCAAATGCTAGATGCATTTATATTGTCGATATTAATTAACGGTTTGCATCCACCAAAATTAAAAATATTTGTAAAAGACGCTCGACCAGGCACAGTAGAGGCATCGTTGGCATGAGCAAAGGTGTGGAAAGAATGTCATTACAACCAATTTTTAACAATGGGGGCCACAATGATTCCAAGTTTAGGAAGCCAACAAATACAACCGGAAAATGTGTCGATGGGTAATTATCCACAAATGGCTGCCTCCAATGTAAAGAATGTTATGTTGCAACAACCAATTAATGCTACACCACTCCAAACAATAGCGTGAATAACGATGACACCTTATTTTACATCACCAACCTATCAACAACTGAAGTTGTTCACAAATGCGATTGTTAAAGATCCAAATGAAGCCTTGTTATTAAATCTAACAAAGAAGATGGAAGAATTGGCCGTGAATTTGGCTAAAGATAAGGAGAAATAACATAAGCCTTCTAATACGAGACCTAATGTATGGTGTAATAATTGTAAGGAATAAGGTCATTTTGATACGGAATGTCCATCACCTAGACTAACGGGTGTTCAATGTACATTTTGTGGAGGAAAATACCCTACCCAAAACAGATGGCATTTACATAGGCAACAACAATTTAGTAATCAGACCATAATCCCACTAACTCAGTGGCAAGTCAATCAAGTTCAAATGGGAAATACGTATGGATGGAATGGAAATCGATCTAATCGACAAAATTGAACATTCAATAACTTTCAAAGTTCTAATTTTAATCAGGGGTCTGCATCAAATCCCCAAAACTATGGAAAAGAGCAGCAGAAGTATCAGTAATATGCTCCACCAGCATCATCGAACCAAGTACCCTCTGTATCAACATGACAACCAGGATCATTTTCTAATCCTACATGGAACAAGCTTAGTATATATATACCAATCGAGACACCCAATATGTCGGATGGAGGTGCAAGAAGACCACTTTATTGTTTTCATTGCAGACAGATTGGTCATTATGCCAATGAATGTCCCAATCTCAAAGTCAGTGACAATTATGCGCTAGTATGTATAAATTGCAAATAGTCGAGACATACTTATCAGCAATGTAATGCTCCGTTCAATTTCAATAATCGAGATCAACAGATCCAAAGCCAAGGAAAAATGGAGGAGATAAATCAAGGTCCTCAAGATTCACTAGTTCATTACGTAGAAGTAGTCCAAGGTATCCTTAGAAGAAGTTAGTAAAAAGAGAAAGTACCAATTCAACATCTGGGTGATCCTGAAGCAAAGGGCCAATTGGACCTAATTACAGGGACATCCAATCTAGGTCCTGACATGGGCCCCCTACTCAGTATAAGACCTGAATCGGTTGTGCATCCTAATGAGGTACCGATTACGGAGGCTTCGGTTTTGTTTCAAGCCGTTCCATTCTCTATACAGTTTCGAGAAACGTCCTTTCCATTGAAAGATCCTCTCAGAGGCGTGAATTCCAAAAAACCAATATCAGTCCAATTGTGAGAACAATCTTACACGTTGAAAGAACCGATTTTACAAGCTCTGTCAAATTTAGTTCCAGTAACTTTACCAATTTCTAATATATAGAAAACCAATTTACCTGTGTCGGTGTCTAGGATTAGGAAGAAAAAATGGACATTGGGAATTACCACTAATACAGAACCATATAATATTCTAAAAGATTTGGGCACCATATAGTCCACAGTCTCTATGAAGCAACTATTGGCAGTAGCACCTGAATGCCAAACTATCTTGAATTCCTCATTAATTCATTGCAAATCTTGAAATAAAGAAATTCGAGAAGTAAGTTTGAATCCCGATCCGAGTGCACTAACGATTGATGTCTCAATTGATGAAGTATTACTATCGGGAGTGGAGGTAGATGGAGGATCTAGTGTAAATCTTATGAATGGTGTTACAATAGAAGAGCTGGATTTGGATCATTTATTGCCTACTACAATAGTTTTGAGAATGGTTGACTCCAGTCGAGTTAAACCTATGGATATTTTACGAAGTATTGATACAGTAATTACGGGGATTACCATGTTATAGCTTTCTTCTTTTATGGTTGCTTATCTAGTCCACAAAGTCCTTTTAATTGTTGATGTTTTAACCTTAGATATATTTGTTAGTAGTATTACAATCTGAGCGAGTTCATTTTGAGCATCATTAATTGGAATTCTTGTAATCCGAGGTGCATCATTAAAGCCATCATGTGTTTCATTTGTAATTTGTTTTGGATACAAAATCTTAACAACTTCACTTTTAGCCAAAGATGTTCTAGTATCAAGATTCATTATAAATGTTTCTGGTGCTCCAAATGCAAGTACTATATTTCTTTGTTGATTAAATATTCCTTCTATAAGAGATGGAAATATGTTCTCTTCAAAATGACAATTTTGAAAACATACACATGGCAGAAGCTCTTTCTTATGAGAATGATGATCTTGAATTTCAAACCATTCAAGAAGCAATGCGTTACTTTGAGTGGTAAAAATGGAAAATTGCCATCAAGAAGGAATATGCTTCTTTGCGTGAGAGAAAAGTCTTTGGTCCAATTGTGGACACTCTTATTTCTTGGCCTTTGGGATATAAGATGGTATTAATACGCAAGCGAGATGCTAAAGGTCAAATTACCTACTATAAAGCTCGTCTTGTTGCTGAAGGATTTACTCAATAGTTTGGCACTGATTATGAATCCATATATTCTCTAATCATGGAATCAATTACATTTCGATATATTATTGGAATGGTAGTTCATTCCACCTTTGAGATGCGTCTCATGGATGTGATAATTGCTGATTTGTATGATTCACTTGATGTAGATATTTATATGAAAGTTCTACCTGGTTTGAAAACAAGAACTCCAAATGCACCTAATCCAAAATGATATCATAGTATTAAATTACGCAAAGCCTTATATGGTCTAAAATAATATAAACACATGTGGTATCAACATCTCTAAGATTATTTAATTATAAATAAGTTTTTAAGTGATCCACTAATTCTTTATTTATTTATCAAACGAGATAAAATTGATTTTTTTAATCATTACTATATTTGTTGATGATCTTAATCTAGTGGGTACTAGATTTGCATGCATTGCAGTTTCTAACCTACTTATATGTGCATTTGAGATGAAAATGCTAGGAAAAACAACTTTCTACATTAGTCTTCAGATTATGCATCTCATAGATAGTAGCATTTTTCTCTACCAACTAACATATATTAGACGAATCTTACGAAGATTCAATATGATTGATGCTTATCCATTGTCCACACCAATGGTTGGGCATGGTCATAATGGTCATAATCCATATCATCCATGCAAGGAAGAAGATGAAATACTAAGAGAGTAATATCCATATCTCGTAGCGATTAGAACACTTTTATATTTAGCGACATCTACCACACCAGATATTATATTTGCATTTATTTTCATGCAAGATACAACACATGTCCAACACTATAATATTGGAATGGCATCAAACATTTACTACGTTATTTAAAAGATATCGAAGATTTGGGATTATACTACACACAATCTTCAAATCCAAAATTGGTTGGATATTCTGATGCACGATATAAATCTGATATTGCAACAGCTAAATCTCAAACAAGCTATGTATTCTTAAGACATGAAGCTGCAATATCATGGAAATCACTGAAACAAACTATAATTGCAACTTCATCCAACCATGCATAAGTTATTGCCTTATATGAAGCATCTCGGGAATATATTTGGTTGCGATCAATTAATAAACTCATTCAAACAACCTGTGGATTTTCATATGATGATTCTCAAATTATCTTATATAAAGATAATAGCTCTTGTGTTGCATAGATGCAAATTAGTTTCAATAAAAGGAATAGGACAAAGCATATTGATCCAAAGTACTTTAGTTATATCCATAATTTGGTTACTGATCAAGTACTTAAGGTCAAGAAAATTGAATTTGTAAATAATCTTGCTCATCTTTTTACCAAAACTCTCCCTTTGTGCAACCATCGCCGACTTACTTATGGCATTGGCATGCGGCGACTTGCTTTTTTTGAAGAAGAAAGTTAATGAACTCTTGAAATAATGTTGTACTCTTTTTCCTTTATCTATGATTTTGTCCTTAAATATAATAATGTTTTCTTGGATAAGGTTTTAATGAAGCAACAATTGTTGATCTTACGAGATTATAGAAAAATATAGATCATAATTCTATGCATATAAATATTATGACAAGTGAGGAGGAGTATTGAGAGCATTAAATGTAGCCGGTGCTCTCCATACTATTTAATGTAGTTTATAGTATTTATTGTAGCTACAGTAATTGGAGTGTAGTGGAGAGACATTATTTATCTTCTTCTCTTCTCTTTGGATAAGGGAGATAATCCTATCAATAAACTCACTTCTTATGTGTGTGTGCATATTACTTCTAGCTAGTATTGTCTCTCTTTCTCTAAAACATTCTCAACAATATGTTTCCTTTTTGAAAAAGGAAATGCATCTATCATTCTGCTTAATCAATTGTCACCATAATAATTAATGAGATCAATTACATCATCAAACACTCCAAATTAATGTAGAAATGAAGTCACTAAGAAAAAATGAATCTAAAAGAAATTCAACATACTTTGGGAGAAAACCCAGTATTTGGTTGTCCAATATCAAACTACCCACATAATTTATTTTATTTTTTTATACAGAATTTGTGGATTACTACGATGGATTAGAACAATTGGATTGCGGTCATGAAGCTGATTCTCTTCGTAGGAGCTTGTAGGGTTTGTTCATGGCTGCAGATTAATTGATTGAATTTCGGAGACTGAGACCTTGTTCACTGATTCTGAGCTCATCGCATTGCATCGCATTGCATTGGATGGAGTCTCAGGAATTGTTCCGTCACGGCATAAGAGTTGAAGAAGAAGACGAAGAAGAAGTAGTTTTGCTGATCAACAGCATTTTCGCACTCTCTGAGATTCCATGATGCTCAGCCGCTGCGGGGCGCGTCAATGCCCTGCGGTGTTGGATTTCAGCCGATTTCTCCACCTCTCGCTGCCGAGTTTGAGCTCCAGCCCCACATTATTTAAGTTCCTGAGGAGCCCCAGGTTTTTGAGTTTAGGGTTTTCCTGTGAGGATGGTTTGTTTTGGGAGAGTTTGCTGACAACATCTCAGCGACTTGGGATTGTGTACCCCCGTTCTCATGGCAGCCGTAGAGGTGCCCATCTACCCTTCTTTTGGTTGATTAATTTTGGGTAAACTGGTTTACCTGCCTGATTAGAAGGGTGGCCACTGGATTGTTGTTTTGAGAGGTTCAAGGGTATTAGTGTGAGTTTCGGTGGGCGTTGGACAGAAAGCACAGTGTTCGCAATTCTTCCAGTGGAGCACAGGAAGCGTTTTTTTTTTAGCGAATTTTGAGAAAGGGTAAAATTTAATTGGCGATGTGTGTCAATTTGCACAGAACTGGGTTTTATTGCCGATGCGGTTCTTGTTCGCCGAACCATTAAAATTTTTTGTACAATTTCTGCCAGGAAACAAAGGGATTGTATTTTGTGATGCCTGCTGGAACAAGAGTCCCGATTCCCAATTAGCTGATGAAGTTGGGCTTGCTTCTACTTCCTCACAATCGTCGTCAAACAGCCAACTGCATGAACCTATCTACCGTCACTCTTATGAGTTAACTGTAAAAACTCACACTCCCATATGTCACTGCACAACACATTTGATTACGCTTGAAATTCTAGCACAGTCGATTTCAGACACATCGTCTTTCATCGTCACAAATAGAGGATCACTTGTTGTTTCTCAGGAATGCGCCTTGGCTTCATTTTCTGTATCTAATGGGGTGACCGATGGTGTTAACTTTCAGGCCGAAAGTTCTTCTATTCAAGTCGACGACGGCTCAGCACTACAGTCGCGACAGGATACAAATCCTATGCAAAATGATGCGTGTCTCAAGAAATCTGGAAAACAAAGGACATTGCATGTGGTGGACGATCTTGAATCAGGAGGTAGCCCTTTGGATATTCTAGAGAGCATGAGAGAGTGCAACCCTTCCTCTTTCTGGACTGTGATAGACTATCTACATGGGCATCGTCGCATGGCAGAGATTCTGGAGGTAAATCTTCCACCTCTTTACTCCTTGAAGCTCATACAAATGTGCGTCCATAGCGTGTTTCCTGCAATTTGAGAAGCAAACTCCTCTTTGGCTGCGTGGATTTTAAACTGGTGTGCTTGTTGACTGATTCCAAACTCAGGTGTTCAAATGGTGGCAACAACAAGATGGTTACAAACCTTACGAACTCTACTATACGAAAATTATCCGCATGCTTGGCCAGGCACACATGCCAACAGAAGCGCGAACACTCTTCATTGAGATGTGCGAATTAGGCCTACGACCGAGCGTGGTTACCTACACATACCTTCTCCAGGGCTATGCAGAGCGTGGCGAATTCGAGGAGGCCGAACAGATTCTTAGAGATATGATTTTATCTGGCGATGCAAAGCCTAATACTACAACTTATGCAGGTAAGTCACAAGCATCCCCTGTATCAGCTTTTGACTCACGTCACTGAAGTCTAATGGATCTTGGTTTGAATCCTCTTTTCCTGTTTGCTGTGTTCAGGTCTCATATACGCTTATGGTAAACACGGCATGTATGACAGGATGTGGCGAACTTTCAACAGAATGAAGACTCAACATATTCCTGCAGATGAATTTTCCTATAGGACGTTGATCAAAGCGTACGCCCGTGGGGGTCTGTTTAGTAGGATGCAGCAGACTATGAAGGAAATGAGCCGCAATGGTATGTATGCAGACTCAGCGACGATGAACGCAGTGGTATTGGCATACGCAGAGGCTGGATTGGTCAAGGAAATGGAGAAGCAGTATGAGGTCATGTGGAAGAATTCTTTTACAGCTGGTCAGGAAACAATCAAAGCAATAGTGCGTGCGTATGTGAAGGATAGTTTGTTCTTTCAGCTTAGTGGTTATGTGAAGAGAGTAGGCTTGAGGAAACGGACGATGGTGAATTATCTCTGGAACGCGCTTCTGTTGTCTCATGCTGCAAACCTCGCAATGGACGACTTGGGAGTGGACTTTCAAAACATGAAATATTTGGGGTTTTCCCCTGATGTGACGACGTGTAATATTATGGCCTTGGCATACAGTCGTGCGAAGCAGTTAGAGGATCTACATCAATTGATAGTTACGATGCAGGATAACGGAATAGCTCCTGATTTGGTGACATATGGAGCGGTAATCGATGTCTTCACGGAGGAGAAGCTGCGGCCTAATTTACTTGAGGAGTTGGTTGAGTTTCGGAACCTTGATGTTGCAGCCGAGGTTGAGACAGATCCTTTAGTGTTCGAAGTGTTAGGAAAAGGGAGATTCCATGTTGCTTGTGAGAAGCTGGCAAGAAATATGGAAGGAGAAAGAATGAATCAACGAACTTATGGTGAACTGGTTGGGTGCTTCCTCCAGTCGCTGAACAAGGGAAGATCTTCGCCTCCCAAAGTTTCGTCGTATTGATGAGTTTGGAGGTCTAATGATAAAATGATAATTGATGAGATGATAAGTTCGGAGCCAACCCAAATTGCTGGTTGCCCAGCCTGGAGAGATTCAGCTATTCGGTGACAGCTCCGCATAAATTATTCTAGGAGTCAAACATCTCTTTCAAAACTGCTCATTACAAAATGTGCACATCAACTTTCAAGCCTCGACCATGCTTCATTCTAGTGTCAGCAGTGTCAGGGGCTCTATATTTGATGGGCCATGAACTTTAGGGACAGCGGTGGTGCTAACTAAGGCATCCGCTGACGAGCAGATTATCACAAAGTATTGTAACTAAGTCTGAGGCGTTTACTATTTTTCTGTCAAAAAGTGTCAAATATTTAGGAATTGGTGTAGCTTTTGTTTTGTTCGCATTGAAATAGTGAGTGTCTATAGTTTCCGTTTCGATGACAGTTATTCAGCTGAATTTTCAACGTGGTTATCGTTGGGATTGTGATTGGCTGATAAATGGTTGTGGGACTTCTGCAGAGTGTACATTGTGGACCCTTGCGACTTGTACAGTAGGTTGAAGCTCACAGTCACACTTTATCTCTTCGAGTGATAAAGTTCTGGTACCACTTGCCATTGTTAGGTGGACGAAGTCTATGGTAAGTTAGCAATAAAGAAATAGGAGAAGTGAACATGCTCCAATAAACATTAGAAACCATTGAAGTTCGGCAACATACTCACTAGTTTCCCATGTAATGGAGATCACAGCAGCCAGAGATTGGCGAACTCAAGTATCTTGTATTCATCAATTGCTGAATTGAAGTTGAATGTTTGTCCCTTCCCCTCATCTTTTAGTGTATCATCTCGGCCATTAGTGAAAGCCTCAAAATTCATGCGCTGAAACGCAATTCGATTCAGGAATTATACGCGAGAATCTTAAAAACTTCCAACTGCACCCTGATTCAATTTCCCCTTTTGCGAGGACAGTGCATCCAATGCCTCTAGGTGGCACCCATCCTCCTGTGGTACTGGCAACTTGGATACAATTCACAATATGGTGAGCAGAATAACATTTCCCTCTTTGGTGAAAGCACATCTAGAATGCCAACATATTAAGCCAATAGCACTGGTGGTCGATATTGTAAGAAATGCTTTACCTTTCAACATGGCTACCTCAAGCGTTTCGAGAGCCAAGAGTCTCAAATGACGCCGGTGAAGTTGGTCTGCAAATGAGACACATTGTCTCTAAGTCGATTTAGAGACACATTGTCTCAAATGGAGCTCCATTTGCCAAGTATGCAATTATGTTGAGAGCGGGCCGTGGAGAGACTGGACAGGATCAATGCAGAGGGCAGAAGAGGACGATTCCCTCGAACAATGCATGGTCCTCTCTAGTCTCCACACAGCCCCTTCTGTACATGATTGGAGATGATCTCGGTATGTAACATCAATGCCACTCTAACCAGAAAAATGAACTCTCACTCTGCCGGAGGCACTCTTCTCGGAACGCGTCTGAACAGGATGGCGGGGGTTTCACTCCCGACATAGACCAACATTGCCTGCTCCAGGCCACCTATTCTAAAGAGGAGCATGTAACTGATCATTGATGATTCTCGTAAAAACTTGTAGTGCGCTCTCGCCTACTTGTCTATCGCCATCTCCTGATACACCTAACGTATTGTATGTGACGCGATGGGTTCATACTGCGGTCGTGGACGTGCGATTTTGGAGGGAATAAGTGGTGCTGCTGCAGCGCGGAGGTGTGAGTGACATCATTTCAAGGCGGGAGCGGGCTGGAATGATAACACTTGCGAGAGAAATGAGAACACCCTGTGATCATGCTGGGCCCGCCCACTGCCATAAATAAAAATACCTGTCCTGCCTGGACCTGTCCTCGCAAAGTCACAGGCACTGCATGGTGGGAGGCTGCGAGTGGTCCACGTATAGAAAAGAAAGACAGAGAAACCATGAAAACGCCGCTAAACCTTCGAGATTTGCACCCAAGCAACCCAAATTAATCCTCTCCTGCTGGTTGTGCGAATGCCGTAAACGCGGCGAGGCTGAAAGTGCACTCTCTAGAAAGAGCAATGGAAAAGGTTGAGCCTTCGTAAGCAACACATGGCGGACAAGACGCTGTCCTCGCGTCAGAACGCCAAAGGGCATGGGGACTGACCGATGGTAATCTTCTCCGACCAGTGGGTTTACACGTCTCTCTGGTGGAAACTGATGTGGGTTGGAAGCCCGACCGTTGGTCGTTGTCGGAAGCCTGGATGGTCAATACCGATGAGTTCCCCTAAAGCTTTTGAATAAACTGGAAATCGTCTGTGTACATGAATTTTGTTGAGGGATTGCTTGTTAATGACAAGAAGAGAATACCCTCAATCGTATAGGCAGTAGCATTTCTCCGAATTTGGGATGTCAACCATGTTAATTTGCTGCGGGGCAGCTAGGAGCCCCGTCGTGGTCGTTTCTCGCCCTGGTCTGCGGCTTTCCGGATCCAATTCAAGTGCCTGCCAATCTCTGAACGTTCCCAAGCTTCTCCCCAGCAAGAATTTAGGTCTAGGGTTCCATAACAAGGGTCGTGTGTTGCGGAGAGATTTCGGTGGAGTACCTCGCAGGAATGATTTTTTGTGTGATGGTGCCGATGGAGGTGCGTTGTTGTTGAGCTGTTCTCTTGATGATGATGTTGGAATTGAAGAGTCTCTGCCGCTTTGTCATGATGGAGACTGCCATCTTTATCAGGAAGGTTTCTGTTCTGTGTGGATACTATGCAAGATTTAAGGGGCGTGAAGTGCGATTGGAATGGTCTTTATCGTGGAAGGAAGTCACTCTCTTTGTGCTAGTCGGGTGCGACGGGTGGAATACTTTCTCAGTGTTTTTGGAATCATTTCCCGTCACAAGCATTTTTGCGAGCTAGCTCTTATTAGTTTATTTCTCCATTGTTTCGTATTTCTCTGTATTGCCCTACACCAACATGGTGGTAAACAGAAGTCTCAGGGTTTGTGAATCATATTGCCTCGTAATCTGTTGAATGGAATTTAGATAGACTTCAGAACGAGGATATCAGCAATGAGCTTGCTCTCAATAGTAGCTCGAGTGCACGACTTTATTTTATTGCATTGGTTTGGTAATTGCAGGAAACATACTGGAAGCAACTCGTGCACTCAAAGCCAATGAAAACAGCTTTAACACCAGCAAAGCTCCCGATGCGCGCTTTTGCAAGGTCTTGTTGGGCGCGTCAGTGGCTGCCCGAGTTGTTCTCGCTTTCAGTTCGCAGCATTCACAATCCTCGACAAGCAGCCACCATGATCATGAACATCTTCATTCCTATGACGAAGAAGTAATAACCGCTTTTGAATTGAAATTTTGTGCTTGTTGAATTATTAGGGTTTCGCCATTGCCTTTTGTAACCCTCAGAATAGGTTTATTTATTTAAAATCCAATTCCTGTAATACTGTATGGATGAGGCAGATTTCCAAATGGAGAGCCAAAGCTGGTTGTGAGCATGGAAACAGAAATTATTTTGAGTTGGAAGTACGAGGTGCATCTTGCCTTGTTGAATTGTATTACCCATGTTATAATTGAACTGTTCATTTCTGGTAGGAGAAAGGAACGGAAGATCATGATCACTCCCACGGATCGTGTGACCACGACCATGGCCACGACCATTCTCACTCTCACTCTCACTCTCATTCGGAACATCATACACATTCTCATGGTTGTAGTCATAACCATGGACGTCCGACTTCCTTGAACGCTATTCAGAAGCTGATAAAGAGGACGTCAGAGGTACTTGGGGTTGCGGCAATTGCAGATGCTTGGAGAGAAAACCTTACTATTGTATGCGTCTCCACGGTTCTTTTGTTGCTAGGAGCCGCTTTACCTTTGGTTCTTCCTCAGGCCGCTTCTTACCAAAATCTTCTCGTGATTCCCGCACTTCCATTAACAGGGGTATGTATCTCTTCGCAGCGAATCTTTGAAAACGAAACTTTTGGTGTTCTAGTGTGTTGTATGTAACCGCAGCTAGCTATCTTTCCTGCATCGCTGGTGTTTAGGAAGTGGTTGGTTTAATGACTATTTCACTCACTATGTTAGAGAGAGCTACAGTGGGAAGATTATTCACAGAGTCGTTTACAATAGAATATTTCATGAAATACTGTATTATTTGTGGCGTGTATAAGGTCCAGTTTTCACATCTTCTTGTCGAAAGTCGTGGATTGACAAGTTTTCACATGGCAGGTACCAGCTGTGTTAGATGCATCCATTGATGTGGCTGGAGGAAAGGTTGATATTCATGTTCTAATGGCATTTGCAGCCTTAGCATCAGTGCTTATGGGAAGTGCTTTGGAGGGCGGCCTACTTCTTGCAATGTTCGGTTTGTCCCATCTTGGTAAGATCTAATGTACATATCCATTTTCTATACCTGGTTTACGTAATTGTTTTACAAGCTTGCTGATTAAAGAGTCAGATATTTATTCTCATTGTTGATTCCTGTGTGTATGCAGCGGAGGAACATTTTACAGAGAAAGCTATGGTAGATGTGAAGGCATTGAAAGATACAAATCCAGAATATGCGCTTGTTTTGGATGATTTTGATCCCAAAAAAAACCCGCCGCTTACATCAATTCCCTACAAAAAACTGCCTGCGAAAGATGTTGCTGTGGGTTCCTTTTTGTTGATTAAAGCTGGTGAGGTGTGTCTCATCAATATCCACATTCTCTGAACATGGTCTCCAAAATGCATCTTGATCTGTTAATCCCTAGTTATTATGCTGTGATGGTTCCATTCTTTTCATTTGTTGTTCTTTTGTGCATGGTGCATGTATAACACTTCCAAGTTGTGAGTACGTGGATATATCTCGATTTCTTTTTATTCATTGAACTTGGTAATGGCTTTTGTGCCCATGAAAACTGAAAGATGGTGTTCTACAGGTAGTTCCAGTGGATGGAGATGTATATGAAGGGAAGGCTACAGTGTCTGTAGAGCATCTAACAGGAGAGGCTACTCCTTTGGAGAAGCACCCAGGTGATACTATCCCTGGTGGCGCCCGCAACCTGGATGGACTTATGATCGTGAAGGTACTCGTGCCGCTGCTGCAACATTTCCTAGGCATAAAAATTCATCATACTTGTTCAAGTGATGCTATTTTAATGAACATTCAGCAAAAAGATTTATCATGTCCTGATTATATGCCGTCTTACGTACATACCTTCTTATGTTCTTATTTATACACTCCATTATGCTTCAGACAACAAAGGCTTGGTCGGAGTCGACAGTGGCTCGAATAATGAGATTGACCGAGGAGGCACAATCAAGCAGGCCAAAGCTGGAGCGTTGGCTAGAAAAATTCACTGAACGTTACAGTCAATTTGTGATGGCCATGTCGGTTGCTGTTGCTTTTCTCGGGCCTGTCTTATTCAAGTGGCCTTTTCTTGGCTCTCCAGGTTTGTCACTGAGTCAATCCTGAAGTAGTCTCCATTTTCTCTCATCTCCTTTCATTCCAATGCTTCTTCGTAAATTTAGCATGTGTGAGCCTCAATTTGAAAATACATGTACCATGCATGTACATGCATCTGTGAGTTGAAGTTCATTTCAAAGTTCACCATCCCTCTCAAAATCAATAGTATCTGTTGAAGTTACTATCATGTGCGATATATATATATATATTTGGTGAGAAGACTGAAATGCATGTTGAACGCTTCCGCTTTCCTTTGAAAGGCTGGTGTTCAGCACGGATAGCTTCTTCAGGTGGTGTATTTGTTTTTTGGAGATTCATATTCCTGGCTTGTGCTTTCTCTTAGGTGTACGAGGATCCCTTTATAGGGCGCTGGGTCTGATGGTAGCTGCTTCACCTTGTGCTTTAGCTGTTGCCCCTCTTGCGTATGCAACTGCCATCAGCGCTTGTGCTAGGAAGGTAGTAATTTATAGCCTTTAATCCTTGAAGCAAGATTCTTTGGTAACTGACCCTCGGAATTGCGGGGAAAATCATTTTTATACTTAGTTCGAGCGATATATGTTTCAACTTGTGCACAGTAATTTATTGATGAAGAATTCCGTCGATTTGACTTAATTCTCGAATGTCGCTTATGACACAGGGTGTCCTTTTGAAAGGAGGAGAAGTCCTAGACGCGTTGGCAGCCTGTGATACTGTGGCGTTTGATAAGACTGGAACTCTCACTACTGGAGAACTTCGGTGCAAGGCCATTGAGCCACTTCGTGGCCATCAGTCGTCCTCACTTGCATGTTGTACTCCCAATTGTGAAGGGGAGGCGCTTGCCGTAGCCGCCGCGATGGAAAGGGGGGCAACTCATCCTATTGCTCGGTGCTTCTCAAAACCTACATGAACTCCATCAGTGAATGTTCAAACTCTGAACGATAGTTGTAACATTATTTAGCAACCGTGAGTAATAATCTCGAAGAGTCTTTAAAAGGAACAACTTGCACTGCCTGGTTTTTGGCTAGTAGAATTTGTGGAAGAAACATAATATTTGGAACAAACTCGAAGTAGCCCCATCTGGAAGAGCCACGTTCTTACTATTTTGTGTCTGGTGTAGGGCTGTTGTAGACCATTCACATGGGAAGAATCTTCCAGGGGTTGAGATTGATGACTTTGAATCCATTCCTGGACAAGGTTTAGCAGCTGTTGTGAACGTAGTGGTAAGCTCTCAATCTTGCATAATTGAATCTTAAATTACTTGAACTTCTTCACTTAGTTCCATTGGTAGTAGATTGGAGATATACACGTGAAGCTTCCTTGGATATTTCGTGTGCCGCATACTTCTATTTCTGTTGTGGACGATTCTGCCGTAGCTGTCATTCCGCGGAGAGGAAGATTCTGTACTATGAAAGAGCTGAAAGCGATTCATGTCCATTTCTAGATTGTAACTGATAGCACCTGATTCCCGCACACCAAAAGCTTCAGAGATGGCGCTTCACTCACATTCGAAAGATTCTAGCAGGATTGCTCGTGTAGCAGAATAGATCACATTTTCTCACATCTGGCTTTGTGGCTAGGTCGGAGAAAGATCAAGTCAAAAAGCACGCTTGGGCTCTTTGGAGTACGTGGTATCCTCAGAATCAAGCTCTTCTGAGGCTGCGAAGATAAGGGAAGCTGCTAGCAATTCTGCATACAGCAAGGAACTAGTTCAGGCTGCGTTATCCGTTGACAAGAAGGTAAGAATTGTTACTGAGTTGGCTTTATTTCGGAAAATGCAGCTTTAAGTTAAGATGGTGCGTTAAGCAATCAAAGCAATGCATTCTCATTGTCTTTGATGACGTTTTTACGGGTCGTTTAATGTCTACATTCTGATTCTTCTTACTTTTATGCAGATCACGCTATTTCATTTTGAGGATGAATTGAGGGAAAATGCAACTGCTGTAGTAAGAATTCTGAAGGAGCAATGTGGTCTACGCTTGTTAATGTTGACTGGAGATAATGCAACAACTGCAGAGAGAGTGGCAAAAACAGTTGGTATTGATGAATTTCATGCTGGATTGAAACCAGACGATAAGCTATCGCAAGTACAGCGTTTGAGACAAGAGAAAGGTAAGAGTGAACACTATCGTTTACATTTCTTTATTATTGTTATTAGACATTCGAAGTTCAACCTTATGAAATCCAATTTCTTCATGTAATTGTATCTTCTTTGTCTCTGACGTTGTCTTTTACTCTTATTTCAAGCAGACTGCGGAGGTCTAGTGATGGTTGGCGACGGAATCAACGATGGCCCTGCATTAGCAGCTGCAACGATTGGGATTGTTCTTGCACAGAATGCTAGTGCAACCGCTGTGCAAGTGGCAGATGTGCTTTTAGTACAGAATGCTATTGATGGTGTACCTTTCGTTATTACGAAAGCTCACCAAACAGTTTCGTTGGTATGTTCTTTTCTCGTTGAACGATCAAATCTTTGTTTATTATGTACTTGATTTCAAATGATAATTCTTCATAGATAGTTAGTGTTCTTTGCCCAGGTCAACACTAAACATTGCATTTTCTACAATTAAGACTGCGTTGGTCGTTTTCTCAATAACAATCCAGAATGTTGCATCTGCAGGTCAAGCAAAACGTTGCGCTTGCATTGTTTTCTATTATCCTCGCTGGTCTGCCCTCAGTACTGGGAGTTCTCCCTCTTTGGCTTGCGGTAGGCCCTCACCGTGTCACTAAGGATAATATACCAAGAGTCTCTCAACACTTTATGATAATAATAATAATAATTATTATTATTATTATTTTTAATCTGAACCTGGGCATCTGATATTGATTGTTTACTGTGTGGGTGCAGGTACTTATGCATGAAGGCGGTACTTTACTTGTATGCGTGAATTCTGTGAGAGCATTCAGGAATCCTTCCTACAAATTGGGACGCTGGAAACTGCTGCAACAATTCATCTCCTTATTCACAACAAACCCGAAGGGCACCAAATCCTCTGCTCCAACTCCTTCTGTCGCTCCAGCCTCATCTTAAAGATAAACAAAAATCAGGTTACGTGCGATTACCGAAGTGTCTTAAGACATAGGGGAGCCGTGGGAAATATAGTGTTGGTGAAGTCCAACTTCTGTAACGTTATTGTAGATTATGATTTCTTCATTCCTTTGTCATCGTTTGCATTGAATCAAGTCCATAGCTGTATCCTTCACAAGAATTGTGATTATGAATTACCAACTTTGTGGAGGTTGTAAAGTAACCTCGTTATCTGAGTCCTGAGCCTTGAGCCTTGAGAAAGCACCATTACATTCTTCGGTCGTGCACCTTGACAACAAGATTTGTTTTCTATTTTCCATGAATGGATCGGATGTTATGAAGGACTAAGCGTGACCTGCGCTTGCTAAGTGCTTCAAAAGCAGCAGCAAAGTCAGATTTGTGGTTTTTCATGTCCATGAAATATTTGAATCGTCTTTATTTTTGAACATTCCTGCTTTTCGAATTAGAAATACCTTGGGGTATGTGGTTGATATATATTTCTGCATGCAAATACGGCTATTCAAGTTTTACCATTACTTTTCTTATTTGTAAAAGCAGAAATTACTTATTCCTCAGAAGTCTGAAAGTATCCTTATCTATTCTTGTACGAACCTCGTCACAAAATCTATTCCAGTACTCGCAAAGCAGGAATAGGTCCAAGTACGCAAGCACTCGCAGACTTGCTTTTCAAGAAGGGGTGTTTACTACCTGTTCCGAAAAAAGTAACAAAATGAAACAATGACAATACTAGTACTATCATGTTCTGTTTCACCTTTGTGTCTACTTACTGGACACTCGTGTTAATATATTTAATATTTTAAGACTCAGCATCACACCAAGTGTTACACACCAAACACAATCAACGTTTGCAAAACTTTCTTTAAAACAAAACTACTCGGTATGTTTACACAAATACCCAAAAGGTAAAACTGCAATTTTTGAACAGAACAAAATACAATGTTCAATTTGCTCCAAGAACACTACAAAACACAAAATATCCTGAACCAAACACAATGAACTATTGACAACGAAATCAACAGCGATGGAAAATAAATATATATATATATATATATATATATATACACATATATACATACATAACTTCGACCAGTAAGTGGAGAAAACATGATCGACTTATGACAACGAGTAGAAAGAAGGAATGAGAGAGAGGAATTGAGAGAAGTGGGGAAGGAATGGGGTTGCGAAGATAGAGTTAGGTTTGTGACAGTGAAGGCAGAGGTGCAGAGAAATTGCTTCCCCCGCTCCCCAATTCCTTCTTCATCCACAGCCAGAAAAGCAGCAGCATCGACACCACGTCCGGTCACTGGTCCCACAGAGCCAGAGCCTTTATACATACAACCCATATATATATATATATATATATACATACATACATATGAATAAATAAATAAATGAACGGGTGGTGGGCTTGTTTGTTTGATTGTATGTTTGTGTGTGTTTACTTGATTGCTTGCTTGTGTGGTTGGATTGGTACATCGAAGCTTGATGCGTCGTCTGCCAGCCACACAATGAGATTTCTGTTTCCAAAGCTAAGCGCCGTCCGACCCCACTATCGCTGACAATTCATTTTCTTCTTCCTTGTTTTTTTGCACACAAAAATGGGGTATTCCATTACATTGATGGGTGAATAGTTACAAAAATAAAGACAGCTTAACCCTTGATATTCAATTGGGCAGATTCAATTGGGCAGAGTTAAGAGCACAACTTGAAGTATACATACATATTTCTTAAGATAATACACTTCTGTGTATTATGAAACCACTGTGTAGAACTTTAAAGTGCCATTTGATTTATTATTATTATTATTTTTCTTTCTTTCTTTCTTTCTTTCTTTCTTGTAATTGTTATTTGTTTAGCAATCCAAGATTTGTCTCATCTTTTAGAAAAGATGTCTTATGTCTTAGATGTTTGCCTAGTTTCTTTTTTTACAAATTTCTAGCTAAGTTGGCCATAATCTACGAGGCCTTGTTAAATTATTGTTCTTGTATAGAGTTCACTCCATATTTCTTGTTCAGATACAAACTTGTTTCTTTGAATCCAAATTATTTAAAAGCATAGGCCTTGCAATAACAACCAAACTTTCCAAAAACATTTGAATTTAGAAGAGATTTTTTTTGCAAGAATGGCATGTTTCTAAGAGAAGGCCTTCTAAGGTCTTCATTTCCAAGGATTTGAAGACATTTTATGTAAGAAGGTAGACCAATTCCAAAATTTTTGGACTTGAAAGCACTCCCAAAAATAATGTATAATAGATTCAAGTTTTTGTAACAAGTAAATATCAAAATTAATATTGATAAGTGGAACCATCATTCCCTTTCAAAGTATTAATTGCTACACCTTTGTGCAAGATGAGCCAAATAAATATAATTTCTTTATGAGATTGGCAAAATATGTTATCAATTCATTCCTAGATGAATAAGAAAATGAATTAGGATCAAAGATTAGATCACATACTAGGTAATAGAATAAGTGGATGCTTGATATATCTTTGCTTGTTTAATTTGACTTTAAGACACTAGGACTTGCATACTTTTTGTGGTTTCAAACTTTAATGTCTTGGAAAGATTTCAGTTCTAGTGTAGAACTTTAGTCTAAGTTTCTATTTAATATTTTTTTAATTATAAAGAAATGTGGGAGAGTGAACTAGTTATCTTCTTCTATTCTTTTGTCCAGTATGGGGAGTTAAAAGGCTACTATTGGTTGTTGGTCATCTACTTGTGTATAAAATCTAATCCAATTTTGGACTATATGTGTGACTGTGCTCTATCAAAGAATATATTTTGATAGGCTAGGAATAGAGAAATGTAGAATCTTCTTCTACTTCTTCATTTGCTTTCATGGCAACAACACAAGTTTATTTTGACAATGGAAAATAAAAATTTCAAATAACAAACTTTTGTAATATTAGCAATCCTATAAATTAATTTGATTTAAAATTAAAATTTATTGATTAATGTTTTGAGAATCAATTTTTATTTGACAATTACCTTTAACAATTTATCTTATAATATCAATAAACTTTATTTCACACTTCTATGACAATGTTATGTTATTATTTCCATAACACATTACTTCCACTTGAGAAAAACACATATAAAAATAATACATGTTATTGTACATTTACACATTTTGTTGATGATTAGTAATATCATTATTATGACCACAATATCGTTTTAAGAGTGAAATGTTTGTACATGACCTTAGCTTTCAAACAAAGCTGTCTATTTATTTATTTATTTTTAAAGCGGTATCCAAAGCACACCCAAGCTTGGGTGTCTTGCTAACACTGACACCATCCCTGATTTATTGAACCCATACTAATAACTGGAAAAATGACAACCTAATTATTTAAAGCTTCAAAACACTTAAATAATCTATTCTCTACCAACAAAAATGAAGCACGATGCGCTTCGTTGGATAATAACCTACAGTTCCATCCTCACCAACCACATTCCCATTAAATTTTTTTAAAAAGTCCATTCTGAAGGCTAGAAATAAACTATTATTAGAAACAACAGTGGTAACAAACAAGAGTGTTACCGCCGCCGGGAATCGATCCCATGAAGCCTTAAAAAGGGGAAACTCGCCAGAACGAACTGGCATTCATCCATCCAAGGCGGCCGTCAAATTTAGCGGTCGCTGTACTCCACTTGCAGGCCCCGGCCACCTGGGGCCGCGACCCGGTCCGATGACAATTGTTTTCCCCTTCGGGCAGATCCCTGCCCGATTGCCCGACTGCCCGGCCTCGGCCGACTTGGCCCGTGATGGGACGTGTGGCAATTGGGGGCGAGGAGGTCGCTGTCCCGTGGCCAAGCCTCTTGCTTTGAATCCCACGATCTCACTGCTGCTTTGAACATATATTCCGCTCGATGTTGCAACAGCGTGCGAAGAAGATTCCCCCTCGTTGCAGTATCGCGGTGAATCTCGGGTGTCGTGTGTGAGCTTCTCCAACGCTTTTAGTTTCGTCCTCGTCTGGATCACTCCCCGCAAACTCGGCTCCAGCGGCGTTGTTGTCTATACCGACTGGTTGTTGGGTTTTTCTTCGTTGCTTGGAGGAGGAGGAGGAGGAGGAAATTGAGTATGAAGCTTCTGCTGCTATCAGTTCGTGTTGGTGGATCTGAATTACGTGGATTCGTAACGCGGGGTGGATCCTCTTGTCCAGCACTTTGAGAACTGTAGCAGGGTTGTATAGAATTTCGCTGAATGGTATCGACTGTTTGAGAGGTCGCGGAGGAGGAGGAGGAGACTTTGCTAGCATTTGTGGCCGTAGTGGATTTGCGTTGCTTGAGCGGAGTGTATGGTTCCCTTGGTTTATTTTGAAGAGGTTGCTTCATTGGTAGCGATTTACAAGCTTCAAATCTTGTCTGTGTTGGGGGAAAGTTGAGGAGGTATGATGAGAGGAGGGCCTCCTCCGCCGGGTTACGGTTACCGAGGGTACGATCCCCGCGGGTGGTACAGATCTCGGGACCCACGAAATCCAGGGGAGTATGAGCACTATCGTCGCCCGGGGCCTTCCCCGTGGATCCCTGCAACGATTCTCGGAGTCGTCTTGCTCATCACTGTCATGCCATACTTGAGGGCATCGGAACCCACCATTGCTTACACTTACCAGCCCGCAGTTCGAAGCCCTACATCCAGTTTCCCTTATGCCTTGTTGTGGATCCCCGTGGTTGCTGTCATCGCCTTGCAATACTTCAGTGGCAACTGGTACTACGGCCATGGCGATGAGAGGTTTGCTCGATTTGCGATGAGGGGTGGTGGTGGGTACGGCGGTAGGGGCGGCGCGTATGGTAGAGACCCAGCACCCAACAGAGGTTGGGGAGGGTGGTGGTCGTGGAGTCCATACAATAGATACAACAATCAACAACAACAGCAGGGGTGGATGTCGATGTTCCTGGACTACAGTGGTCATTGGCTTCTCATCTTTCTCGGAATCGTACTATTCACTCTTGTTAGTTATTAATTTCTTACTTTCGTTTTTTCTTGTTCTTGGAGCCGTGCTTCCCGTCGCTCACTCCCTCCGCAAGTGTTAGGGTTCTCCTCTCTTTGTGTTCTCTTTTTAGCAGCCCGCTAGTGATCAGGAGAAGGGTATGTCGCAGACAGAATTTCTAAGGCAGATGGGCACTTGAATTGCATCCTCGCCCCCTCTAAGGCGTGTTTCTTGTTCCTCAGGAATGGGATTGGTTTCCCCTCTTCCTGCAGCATGTTCTTACTTGGCGGATGTCGTCTGTGACGGGCATTGACTCCTCGACCAGCTCATATATCGATCGCTCGGTTTTGCTGTGGAACGTGTTTTTCCGTTACTACGTCATAATTTATGCCAACAGAATGTATGAGATAGCGTCGGAAGTATGCTGTATTACATAGCACCTTCTTTCTGGGCGGGTCAAGTAGGTGAGAGAGCAAGCTGTGAGGATGCAATGCCTCGCTGATCGCGTCCATGCCACTTTATCCCTTCAGTACATGCCGACATAATGTGGATCATCTCCCTAATTGCAGGTTTGTCTGGCGATGGAATAGATCACAGTAGAAGAGGTATGTAGTGTAAAACGTCTGATGATGGTGCACAGCTCCCAATGCACATTTTTGTAGGTGCTGAGTTAACTTGGGTGCATTTAGTTTGGAGGTTAAGGTATACAAACGGTGGTAATCTTTCAGCTTGTTTTGATCAATTCCACATCGGCATCTTACTGATGGGACCCTATGTATATAAAGTCATTCTGCTTACAATTTAAAAAAAGGGTTGTGCGTTCCGTAATCTCCTTTGTATAGGTTTGTCTGGTTTTGTCTGAAATTGCTGTGATATCATGAATGATGTGAAAACCATGAAATGTAAACTGGATGTAGAGAAAGATTTGTCTACTGAGTTTCTTCAAGCTTGCAGAAGTAGCTAAAGAGGTCAGCCTGGGATTGAAGGATATTCTGTCGGAGCCCATGTACCGTTCAATTCTCCTTGTTTGTACACACAAGAGTCAGATATCAGTAGACCTCTACTGTTCAGACTGTACACTTAATTTCAAAGAGCATCTCCACTGCATGTCAGTACTTAAAAGACGAAGAATAGTTCCAGCTCTTTCTACTACTTATTCAATGCTAAACCTGGCAGAATGCGCAAAACTTGTAGCTTCCCCCAAACATTGTAGATGCTTCTCTAGACCTGCAGCTGTGGGCTCCTCCTCATTCAAGTCTGGTAGCCTGAATTTCTGAAGGAAAATCAGAGTAGGATGCTGGAAAACCACATAATTTGTCTCCCAGTTCTGAAGATCTTCGGCCCTCTCCTCCTCTAAATTCTGCTAAATTTAGCAACATAGTCAAATCCACTTACAAAGCCCCTTTTCTCTGTAGTCTAACCACATCTCATATCTGTCAAGGTGTGGTTTTTCAACCTTGCTGTACAATTCCCCTCTTCTTAAATAAAAAATAGTTGAAGAAAACATACCCTGGGGTTTTAGAAAAACACGATTGAATCTCATTCATACAGCTTTGAATATATCTGTATATATATTATTTTTAGAATTTTATTAATTAAAAAATACGTATCTAAACCTATTTTGATAATTTATTCAGTTTTTGTTGTTTGTTATGAATATTTATATTAAGTCTTAAATAGAAAAAACAATTCAATTGAATATGGACTCAATTAGAGAAACTATACTTCAACACACTATTTGGCTTTTTTATCTCATAACTATCAAAATAATATATTTATTGTTAATTAAACGAACAAAAATTCTCAAAATAAATGTTATAAAAATATTTTTACATTAAATTTAAATAATTTAATTAAATATTTTTTGATTTAATTTTTGATGGTCTTAAAATAATTTCCTAAGTATCAAAATAAACTTTCTATCATTACAAAATAGTCTAATATATATATATATATATATATATTTCTCATTTTAAATATAAGATATTTCCTAGATATAAGTCTATATTGTCATATAAATTTCTAATTTGACATAAAATTTTATAAAGATTGCTCATATTTATTTTATAAGTTTAAATCAAAATATTAGAAATATTTTATAAAATGTTTTGATAACTTTCTCTCCTAAAAATACTAATTTATATACGCCACTTTTTGTTTTTATTACCATCATTAGTATAAGGCAAAAAAACTAAAAATTGAAATAAAAATAAGACAATGTGTAATAAGACTTAGAATAGAAACTAACTTTTATTATAATGTTGAGATGTGTGAATGAATGTAACATGCTTAAGAGGATGAATTTAATTAATATTATTTCTCTAAAAATTGAGACCAAGATATTGAACTTTATGTTATTACAATTTAAAAAGTTTGTATTTAAATAATAGAATATAAAATTATTTAAAGTTGGCTTAGGATCTTGTACCAAATAAAAAAGAAAAAAAATTCCAAATTGAAAATTCTATTAGATTAATTTTTAAAATTAGGTTAGCAACTTCAACAAAGTAACAAATCCAACCACAGTTTTCATTCTAGAACATTCATTTATGTTCATTTGAATCTCATCCTTCCCACTTCAAAGTATTAATTCGCTTCATTCTCAGCCCTTGATTGGGATATTGTAATACAATAATGCAGTCCTCACTTGGCGTAAATATATAGTTATTTTTTCTTTTCTCTTTATAGCATTGGCCTTCATATATTTTTATTGATAGAAGAATAAAAGAAGAAGAAGAAGAAGAAGAAGAAGTAAAAAAAAAAAAAAAAAAAAAAAAAAACTTAAAAATGTCACCAAAGATCCCAAAGTCTTTAAATTTTTTAATTTTCAATACTCCAAAAAGAATGATTAATAAAAACTGTGTGGAAATTTAAGCAAACCCATATCATTCCCTTTGAAGAATCCATAGCTTGAGCAAAAAACACTCAAAGGAATACATAATTGTTTTATGGTGTATTATATATTTTTTGTTTATAAAATTAAAAGTTAAAATTTTGGAATAAAAACATATTTATATTTTAAGCAGGTAAAATTTAGTTTCAATTAGAAGAATAAAAGAAGAATCCAAAAATTTTTATTTAGCAAACATTTGTCTTAGCTTGGGTGTTTCTTAAAAACATTGAAGTTTTAAAAAAAATCATACAACAAACAAACTGCCATCTTAATTCTAAAATAAAAAATAAGAATTATAAGTTTGAAGTATTGTAATAAGCTTTCAAAAAATATGTTTCTATATAAAAAATATAATATTATAAAGAACGATTTTTTTAATATACAAAAAATGAATGATAATTTAAGTAACTTATCCAAGAGACTTAGTTTTAGAATGATTGTAACCAACTCATGTACAAGTAACATTGTCTATAGGACTTATATGATTGAAAGGATTCAATCTATTTGATATCAATACCAAGCCTTGGTCTAATTCGATTGTCAATGCAAGTAAGCAATAGGTTGGATACAACTTTTAATTTAATAAATTATAATTAGTCGGTTGAGGGTGCATCAACTGTTAACATTGGATTAGATTGATGGGGCTCTCATAGTTGACCACAAAATGTGCAAGACAAGCTCAGATAATGACACATGCTACGCAAACCTGTTCCAAATGAACAACCCCATCTTTGGCCAATAATTTTCTTTGTCAGATTCTTAGACCTTTGACACATTCGAAGGCACCCCGACCACTGCTCAGAAATTCAGAGAGTTCATTTCTGCTATTCAAGTTGGGTGAACTTTCTATCTATAGCATGAGAAAGCTGAACATTAACCAAGTCATGCGGTCATTTCCTGTCCTCAACGATTTTCAGTAAGGGATACCAGAGACATACCTTGTTTGGTGCTGATCAACGATTGTGGAGTGTGACATTCATCGATGTGAGGGACTGCTGCGCTCAGAGTTTAAGCACGCAGTGCACTCAGTTAACTCTGTGGTGCAGGCAACGAAGCCACTGTGCCTTCTTTAGGCAAACGCTAAGAACATTTTGGCAACAAAAATTCATGTTCTATGTGCATGGAGTATATTTCAACATGTGACATAAGTAGGAAAGGTGGGTGCTGTACAGTGTTCATTTCCACCTTAAATGGAACATCTCAAGTGGGCAAGAACACTGTACTGTGTGAGTCGCGTTAACACATTGGCCTCTACAGATGTAACGTGTAAACCCTGATGAGCAACAAGATCTGCATGTCCATTGCCTCTGAGACTAAGAAGGCAAACCAGATGAAAGACTTAGTTGATAATCTAAGGCAAGTAGCTGAGCCAGTGGGAATTCGAGATCTGCAATTTTCTGTGAATACTCTTCAGTGTAAGTCTGTTGACTTTCAACCATTCCATTGAACATCTCCTTCGTCCTGTCACTTTCTTAATAACTCCCAACGTACCTCGCACTCTATGAGACTTCATCCTGATGAAAGGTCCGATTGCAGCAACATCCCCCCCACCCACCTCTCAATAGAACAGATTAAATGGAAGAACCTCTTATCTCAGCGTCATCACCAGTTAAAGCTGACAATGCCCTACCTGTGGACTCTTCAACTGTACCCCTGGTAGCATCTGTTTGATCGGGTACAGGCTTTGTTCTTGGCCTTTGAACCTTGTTATGAAGGAATGCCATAAGATCCAAATCAATGCGCGGAGTAAACTGCTTCAATGACCTTCGTAGCATGCTTTGTTCCTCAATAGACAACCCTAAGATGAAATTTAATACTATGGTTGGATCGAATTGGGAGTAGACAGATATAATACCCGCAATAGCTGCCTCCCTAAGCTTTGCATTTTTATCGTTAGCTAACGGAGCAAGTTTGGCAAGCCAGAGTTTAAGTAGACCAGTTGAACCTGTTCCAGAGCCATCGTTTGCTAGTCTTGCAAAAGCAGCAATTGCGAACTCAATCACTGTCATTCTGGCCTTCGGTATACGTTGCTCATCAATCGAACGCAGTAGTGGCAGCAGCAAGGTGTCAATGGTATATGTGTCACCGATCGTCTCCAAAGCCGATAAGCCAAGTTGGCGGATGGAGTCTTTAGAATCCACTAGCCTTGCAAATACAGATGGTAGGGTCCTCTCCAAATATGGTTCAAACATCCTTCGTGATGTCCGCACGAGCTCTATCAAGGCCGAGAGGGCTGCTTGTGTTACTCTCCAATGAGGGTCATCCAAGTGTGTAGTGAAAAGCTTCATCATCCGATCAAAATTCTGCGCCACTTCTTGTGAACCTTTAGAGCCTTGTTGTAGCAACTTTTGAATGTACGTAAATGCAGCGACTCTTGCAGACCAATCTGCGTTAGGTCCCAATCCTTCAGTTAAAGCATCATTCAAAGACATCACCCCGTCCATGTAATTCAACATTTCTGCTTGGGGATTCAGACCTCCAGGTTGGTGAATATTTCCCCCACTAGTACATTCTGACGACTTTCCAGACGCTGTATGTCTCCAGCTTATCCTGTGGGACAGCGATCCGATGCTGGAGGATGAATCTGCGATTCGTAGCTTTTCTATGTGAACATCTAAAATTGGATTCTGCTTGATTTCCCTGTCCATGAAACTTCCCTCAAAGACGTTGTAGCAAGGCGTTTCAGTAGATGACAAGACTCGATTGGCACCTGGGGACCCAACTGAAGCCCCTCCAACCGTTGCGTTAAGGATTTTACTTTTTATTTCCAGACTGTTGTTCTCATGCTCCTCTTCTTTTCTATCCTCTAAACCGGCAGATGCGGGTATGGTAGTGGACGAGCCAGTAAAACTGCTATAGCCAGAAACTTTAAACTGTAGTGCATTGCAATGACAGGATGCAGGAGCAGATGCGGGATGTGGTGGGTCGCGAGCAGACGGCGAATCAGCGATTACTCGCATGGTTCCTGTGGGTGTAGGTGCATGAATTTCTAGATAACTCCCACCGGCTGCAAAATAGATGTAGGAAAGATCAGAATCTGGCACTCGGAATACGTATACTTTGTTGCGAATGGTAAAATTCAACTAGACTACTTTTTCGTGCTACGAACTTGGTCTCTTTTTTTTTTTTTTAATTTCTTTTTCTTCTCTTAACCACATCAGCAGAGCAAAAAGGAAGAACTCTCATACCTATGCGTCCTGGTGCATAAACAACACCTTCAGGGGAATCGACGCCCTTGGACGTTGTATCGATAGCGTTCAGCTGACTGGCTTCCAGCATCTTCTCTGGGATAATATCGGAGGATATGTCAAGAGATTTTCTTAGCAACAGATTTGAAGCAGTTGATGGTTCAGAACCGGGCACTAAACGTTTACTCCTATCATTTGAAGTTTCTCCCTTCAAAGTTTGTACTGAATGAACAGACATTCGGGTCGATCGCCGCAGCTGATTAAATTCGTCACCCCCCAAATCCTTCGCAGGCGAAAACAAGTATCGTCTGTTTACTTCTTCGTCATGATAGAGCTACAAATCACAACAGAGATAGCTTTAACTTGTCAATTTTTGGGTTTTCCCCGGGATACTAGTTGATTAGAATATGATCTACCAGCAGATGTGTAACTCAGAATGCCCACCTTTTGAACTGCAGGGTCAAGTAATGAGAAAACTCGGCGTGCACGGTCTGGCCATAATTTTGAGTATACTTGGTAACACGCCCTTGCATTTGAGCGAACCTGCAGAGGAAAAAAGTGCACATCACACGAAGAAGCTGATCATCCTGGTCAGTCATGTCAAGATTTAAAGTGGTTCTTATGAAGTGTTTTTATGGAATAACAAATCGAACCACTCAACATGTGAGATCACCGTGTTACAAAATATTTTTACTTAGAAATTATCCAATTCAGGTTGCAACTTTCAAAATTGAGATGGTTCATGCCTCAGCTACAGCATCAAGAGTGCAGCATCTAATCAATTCCTGATAAAGATCAGAGATTCGATGAAGCTCTGGAGAATCCCCCCACTTCTCAAGGACCAGCAAAGCATAATTACAACACCTGCGAATTTGATCTTCGTCATTGCTTGCTTACAACTATAAATTTAACGAACAATTCTTTTACGTGGACAGCATTAACTAGGTTTTTAACATCGATTGAGCTTTAGATAACTTACTTTGTCCGCAAAATGGCATTTCGATCATGCTTTGCGCACTCGATAATTCGGGGAAGTACACGTGCCACGCGGCAATTCTCTAGCATCTACAGGCCGCCAGTATCGATCAGTGATGATGAACCAAAATTAAAATCATACACAGAAAGGGTACATGGAAAAGGGTAGGAACGACTAATTTCCTCTGATTGCAAGAAAGGACTAACCGTTTTTATGCAATGGTCTGCTGATTCTCCAATTACAAGCACAGTAACTACAACAGATCTGAAAAGAACCTGTAAAGGAAATAAATAAAGCGGTTGTTAAACAGAAGTAAACTAGAATCAATTAACACTTCAAAAACAGGACAAAAGCAAAGAAAAACTTCGTGAGGACATAGCAATTCTGACTCACTAGGTGAAAATTTCAACTCACAGGTATGAATACTTCTGCAAAGGACTCAAAATCGATTTGAAATTGCTTCGAAAGCAAATTCAGAAGTTGACATGCCTGGACAAACGACATAGGCCATATAAATATGAGTAATTTTGTAGGGTAATTAATTTAAAAGCACGACGAGAAAATGGTTTCCGTGTTTGGCAGGTATCAATCCTTAAGGATGCGAGAATGAACGCTGGGTTTTTCAACCAGGGACGACAATCTCAATCCAAATTGGTGCTGGCAGAAAAGTTCATCTGGTGTACTCTACAAGTATAGACTTCAACAACATAAACTTACGACAAAGACAATGAGAAACAGAGCCCCAAACAATCAAATTAAGAGAAGAATCAGAGAGCATCAGAGAGCATCAGAGAGTAACAGACCTGCTTCACAATGCTAGAACGCCGATCTAACAATTGACCGCTGAGAGGACCTGTAAAATTCTTGAAGAGCGTCAAAAAGCACCCGAACTCCACAGCACCTGCTCATCCATTTGATCCTTTTCTTACTAGTGTACAAGGTGATGGTTGCCCATATTTAAAGTTGCGTCCCCTATTTCAGAAGCATGTGGATCTGTTCATATATTGAAATATTAAGAATTTATGAGATTCTTTTTTTTTTAAAATGAAAAAGGTCGGATTTTTGTTAAGAAAGCAAGTTCTCACAAGTTGGTTAGAAGATTTTCAATACCTTCAGAATTTTTTAAAAACCAAGGTAATGTAATAAATACCCAATAATACGTGACATATATTGGTCAAAGGTAATTCAGGTTTGACAGTGGACCTCCAACGATAATTCCTTCCAACTTCTGCATAGCTGCCATCCGAACAGACCACTCCTGTTCAGCTTTGAGCAAGCTGACAATTTTGTCCAACTCCTTCGTCAGCTCCCTCTCAGAAAATACTTTAATAGGACCAACGGGTTTATCATTTCCTCCACTTCCACCTGATGCACACGACACAAGGCCCAATCTACAGTCAGGTCAAGACTAAAATATAACGGCATCAAAAGAAGGGCATCTGTTAAGACTCAAAATTATTACTTCAGAGCTTACCTCCCAGGTGGACATCAGTAGAGAGCATTGATTTATACTTCGGACTGCATCGCCTATGGGGTCGCTGATTTCCTCCAAAATGACAGACTTTTGTTTCCACATTGGAGTGAAGAATTGGGGATACAGGACTGTGGCAAGAGTTTCGGTGGTTACTGCGACCTACGCCACTGGTAGTTGCATGCTCATTGTCTAGCTGCTTGGTAGGTTCTATCCTATCAAACCGGAAAGAAATTTCCTTCATCTACAGAACACAGAAATTTTTATGAAATAATTCTCAGTAAAATGAACTGTTTAGAATAATAAACTTTCACGACTTGTCACAGAAAAAATTGCCCTAGATCCAGTTATTACACAAACTAACTTGACAGATTGCTGGAGGGATTGAGGTGATCGGTGAATTGGAATTCGATTTCAGTGTAACATTTGGTTTTACATCAGATGGTATATCACTCAAACTACTTGAACTCGCATGGGCAGTAGAAAGAACTAGTCTAAAAGGCTCAAGAACCTATATACACACACTAGTATATGCGATGCTGTCGGTCTGAACCTGAAAAGTGGGTGTAGAAACAACACCAGAAAAAGAAGATTATTCAAAGAAATAGCCTTAGTTTGAATGGTCAGGAAACTGGCTACCAGCGCAGGACGCAAATGATGTCGTTGAAGTTCATCCTTGACATTCTGTCCACCATGCCGATACATCTCCTGGAGAGAGATAATGTGTAAGACAATGTGTGTGAATGATGTAATCACATGAATTTCTGCTCTCGCCTCACCAAGCGAAATGTCATTTTTCAAAAACATTTCACAAAGACACAAATTTGCTGTTCTTGTAGTCGCAGTTCAACTCACCACCAACTCTGCACAACATAAACACCTCGAGGCGATTTTTTTATCATACCTCTAGGCAAACCAGTGCTGCCTCCCTCACGTTGCTATTGGAGTCTTCCAATAACTGAAGATTCTGCAGATGAAACAAAACAAAATGAAATATCTTAGGAGATGAAATGGCAGGGCATTGTTTAGAATCATGATGCTGACTCCAGGTAATTTAAGTTCTACCATAGACTCTACAAAATTGACCAAATGAACATGTACTTTTGTTTACTCACGGTTCATGTAGCCAAGTCCTGAAGCGTTATCTAACTTCATTTCTAGCATCTCTACTCAAGATGCGGGTAAATATCGCAGTAAAGCTTTGAGCAGCGCGCTTACCGCTGGCAAATGCATTCGCTGGAAATGAAAACCTGTTGAAGAAAACAAATTGAAAGCTGATGCTATAGTGTGAGCAAACTCTTCGCGCACCCTCCAATTTTTATGCGTCCAAGCGTAACTGCCAGCTCTATCCGCAATTATGGAAGGTGTCGAAACCTGAAAGTCACAATGTGAGGGATATGTGTTGTTCAGCGTCATTTTTCTTTGTCAGTTTCAAATGCTCGGACGACCGTTGCGCTTACAGACGCAGTGATGAAAGCTTGCAACGAAGTTAAGGTGGCTTGCAATCGTCATTGAAGGCTAATATCAAGGTTAATTGTCTGTCATGTTCAAACCATTGCGCATAGTCATGAGTTCGTGAGGAAGTAAACACCTCCATGAGAGCCAATAGAAGCCTGCGGCTCGCATCACGCACAGTCTGCTTGTTATCACCTAAACGCTCCACTACAGCTGGTACCAGTTGATTGTAGTGAACCCTCAAATATTCCCCAGACATGACTGCCGCCAACGTTAAAAGATGTAGCGTCCCTTGACATACTTTGAAGTTGTTGTCTTTCAGGAGGACGGTCGAGGCGTCCACCAAAGCCATGACCTCCTTTTCTGACAGGCTCTTTTGACTTTGTTCCAGAAGTCTTTGCAGTCTCTCAACTCCTGCTAGTCTGTCTTTCGTGTCTCCCCTTTGAAGCTGCTCAAGTGCTTCATCCATTGTCGTGAATGGCACACAACTTCAACACTCGAGTCTAAGGACGCAGGCTTTTCATGAATGGGCTCATAAATTCATGCACAGTCCAAACGGGGTTATGTATATTCTCTTCGTCGCACACATCCAACTGTCGCCCAACACTCACTCCACACTCCGAAACACCACTGCCTCTATAACCATGCATTCTACCCCTTGCAGAATGATTTCTCTAGGGCTTGTTGGGTGTGCACCATAGAGGCGTCCATCAACTCTTAAAAATCAGTGTGTCAAACCAGGCTGCTTGTAACTCTGCTCTCTCCTGTGAGAATCCATTTTCACCCTAAAAAGAGCTCCAAACTCCATTTAACACAAAAGCAAGAGCGAAAATAACCTCTGCTGCAAACCCGTCTGTAACAGATCCGAACAGAGCTAAAAACCAAGCGTATTGTATGAACATGCGACAACTGTACTTCGGATGTAATAATTTCATGCAACGCCAAGCCTAAGTGAGCAATTCCTCACTGCAGCGCCAATTCCTACAAGACGAAAAGGAATGCGGCCAGAATAATCATCCAGTTCAATGGGGAAGGAATGCAGAGCCATAGGTGGCCGAGGGTATTGTTTCGTGAGGATGTCATGAGAACGGAACATCTTTACCCTTCCTCAGTCAAAAATCACGGTGCATATCCTAAATTCACTGCAAAGACCAGGTTCTTACCATCAAACCCCAGGGGACCACACTGCATGCACCTCCCCAATGCACGAGAATATCACAACAACAACAACAAGAACCTCAGAGACCATACCAATCAACTCTCACGCAAACACTGCAACCAAAAAATGTTTTTACCACACCCTCATCAATTATCACCAACACAAGTGTCACATCTTCAACAAAACCACCACGGTACCATCAAACTGACCATCGGAACGCCCTCCGACCATCGAATCCACAATTCAACTACATCCCACTCTCCCATCACCCGGTTAAGTATCAATAGACTCAAAACGCAAAACCAACCCGAGTGCATTCCCCACACATTACACGACACTTGTGGTTACATCATTTACTTCACATCCATAGCAGGAGTATGGAAACCACGATGTGAAAAAATGAGGGCAAAGTGTGGAAGATGGTGAGGAAACACAGACAGAGCAGTGCAGTAAATAGAAGAGAAGAGAAGAGAGACAGAAAGAGAGAGAGCGAGAGAGAGAAGAGGCAGTTGTCCCATCTGGATTGTGGGCTAAGATGCGTTGCCCAGCGGGATTCGGTCCCCGTGGGATCAGTTAGGATTGCATGACCACAAATGTTGCTGACCGTTACCCCCTTTCCTCTGTCACTTTTTATTTTTATGGTTACTTTTTGTGATTCTATTCTTGCCAATACTTTGCATAATAGTCTAGTAATATATATGATCTTGTGATTTGTCAAACTATTTTTTATTATTAAGATATTTCTCTAAGTAAGTGAAATTTAGTTTTTATTTAAGATCTCAGTCTGAACTTGGTCAAAATTAGAACTGGAATATTGGGCATTGTTTCTTTGTTTCTAAAGCTTAATATGTTCATTTTTTAAATTATTAATCCTTACTAGTATCATGATTAAGAGATTTTTTTAATGATTTCTTGTTTCATTTTTTTTTACAAATATCTTATGAGTTCTAAAAGCTTACTTTATTTAAGGATAATATTTTGTGAGGTACTTCTATTTATAAATAAATAAGATGCTTAATTTTTTTGAGGAGCATAATTTTTTATATGCAAATTACTTGAAATTATTTTTGATTAATTAAAATACAGAAATAAATCTTAGATTAATTTCTCTAAAATTTTATGACAAAATAAACTTCTATATAAGAAATATCTTCTGTATATTTTTGTACCAACACACAAGTTCTTTTTCATTATATATATTGGTTTATTTTTGGTATTTTTAATCTCAAGTATGTCCAACAAATTATCTATGTTCTATTGACACTCGTTAATAGAATTATTTGTTGTTTAAATTATTATTATTTTCATGCTTCTCCATTATACTTAAGTAAGTAAAAATAAAGAGAAGTAGATTGAAATAGATTAAACTAACAATGTCTTCTTTGAGAAACATCAAAAAAGCTTTTAAAATATAAAATAGATCTATAAGTGTATCATGTGACTACTTAGACTTCTACTTGAAGTATCTTACTTCTAAAAAAAACTACTATGATAGTATCATATAACTCAAATACTTGGCCTATAAGCCTTGTTATTTTTAAGAAGCTTCTACATTTTATTCTTCATTAATTAGTATACATATATGCAAGACTATGGCCATATAATATCATACTAATACTTTTTACTTGTGCCAAAATCTTGGTTTAAGGCTCCCTAATTCCCTATACTTAGCATTGGTTACTTTTATATTTTAATTTCTAAACATTCTTCCTATTAGATTTATTTTCTTAATTTTACAATAATATAATATTTTTTGATAAATTTATTTAGATTAATGTTCTTAAATATTTTATAAGATATGAAATATTATAGTTTGATGTATCTTAATAAAGAATGAAGTACCTTAATTTTTTTAAATCATTAAAATAATATCGAAGCTGTAGATTATTTTATTTTAAATAAATAATTTAAAAATTATTATATTATTATTATTTTTCCTTCTACTTCTAATTTTAAGTAATTCTTTTATCTATAAGAAAAAAGTAATGTTGTGTATTTTAAACTTTTGAAATACAAGAAAAAACTTGATGCCAATAAAAATAATTAATCTTATCATATAGAGTATATAAACATACTCCATAATCTTGACTTAAAAAGCAAAACAACTATAACATAAGAAATTCTATTATAATCAAGACAAATTTTAAAAATTAAATTAAATTAAAGAATTATCTACAATAGAAACTATAAAATAAAATTTTCATATGACATTAATTTGTAAAGTACTTGTATAATTGACTAAATCTTTTCTTTATTTTATAATAATAATTAAACTTATAAACTAAAACACATTTAATTTGTACTTCTTATTTATTAGATTTTAAAATCTTTCATTTTTTTTTCTTGAAGAAGAATTTTCTACACATTAAAAGGTTTATTTGTGACACAAAATTAAATCAATGCATGTAAAAATTGTACAATGTCAATTTTTTCTTTTTAAGATTTTATCCACAAAACCCTTCTTCAAAATTTACTTGTAGAAGATGATAATAATATTTAATAAATCCTGCGACGGAAGATTTAGCAAATCGTTTGTCAGAGCTACATGCAACAATGAAGATACAATTAAAAGAAGTTCAAAGATGGCAAAAGACTAATGTGGATGCCTATCGCAAGGAACAATTAGAATTCAACATAGGTGACAAGATATGGTTACTTTGTTGCAATATCAAGACTACTTATCTTTGTGATAAGTTGGACTATTGTAGGCTTGGATCTTTTTCTATTTGTGAACAAATCAATTGTATTGCTTATTGATTATATCTATCGAAGTCTATGAAGATCCACCTTGTATTTTACATCTTCTTTCTTAAGCCATATAAGACAGTGAATATTTTGGGAAGAAGACAAATGCCACCTTCTCCTATAGAAGTGGATAATAATCAAGCGTTTGAGGTGGAAGAAGTCTTAGATTCAAGGCGATGCCGGAATAGGTTGAAATATCTTGTTCATTGGTGCGGATATGATATTAGTAAACGCATATGGAAGCCATAAAAGAATCTTGCAAATGTAGCAAAGAAAGTTGAAGCTTTTTATCAATGAAATCTATCAAAACCAAGATGAAGAATAACAAATATTTGCTATAAAAGAAACAAGATCAAAAGAAGATAACATTCTATCTTCTATCTTTCTTTGTAACTTATGTATATTTGTAATGTTAAGGATATGGAGAACCAACAACTAGCAGATTCAACTCAAGGGCTTTTATTTGTAGACTTATCAGGTGAAACATTACGATTGTCATAACCTTCAAGACGATGAAATCGAGATGAAGATCCTCAAAAATGACATGTCCTTTCTCAAATAGATGGCAAGATACAATGTGTTTGGTACCACGACCTTGGAAGAGACTCCCACTATTTGGTGATTTTATTAGAGGTAGAAAAAACTTGTGACGGTATTCCAAATGATTTATTTCAAAGAAATTACAAAGGCATCAACAATGACTAAATAACACAGTGGTCTTCTTACATTGGTATGGGACAATATTGATGATTGAGAAGGCCTATCAACCATCTTCGAAGAGAGCTAAGATCGGAGTATGTGGCAAATACAATTCGTTGCAGCTTGGACTTCTTCAAAATATGAAGACCGCTCCTTGTAGAACTTGTCCCTATAAAGGGGGATAATATCACGGATATATACATTTATCTCAATAATTATTTATATGATTAGGTAGAACTAGGTAAATATAGATTAATTTCATAAAGTCTTTTAGTGAAGCTTCTTAGAAGCTTCATAGATGCAGTTTTGACTTTAGATGTATTTGTAGGTTGTAAACTTGGTCAACAAGCTAACCACATGTTGGTAGCTTGTGGAACAAGTTAATTCTGCATAATAGCTTGTGGAACAAGCTTACCATGTAGGGCATACATAGATAACTTGCCTTGCAATTTAAGACATGTGGCTAGCAAAGTCAACATGTTTTGGAAGTCTTATAGGACATCGCCACATAGTTCGTAGTTAAGAGTATATATGGAGGCAAGAGTGTAGCCTTCTTCACTCTTTTCAACGCCGTTCTAGTTCTTAGTCTTGTTTCAAGACTTTCTAGTCTTGTTGTTTTTGGCAATAGCTATTCTAATTAATATTACATTACCTTTGGAATCACTTTCATGTCTCTTCAGTGACACAAGAGTATATCAAGGATTCTCTTTCTTTGAGATTCATGTCCTTGATACACATATGTAATAATTATTTTGCATTTAGTCAAAAAAAATTATTTAAATAAAAATATATTTATTTATATCTATAAAATAATTTAAAAATATAATATTAAATAATATATTTAATATTATTTTAAATTTTAAAATTCTATGGCATTAAATATAAAGTTATATGAATAATTTGAATAAGAGATTTTGAAAAGATAGAATTTTATACAACCACCAAAATTATTAACTAAGATATATATATATATATATATATATATATATATATATATATATATCATAGAATTATATCATAGAATTTTGTTATCTTATTTTACCTTAAATTAAAATAGAATTATATTTTAAACTCAAATTGCATTAACAATTATCATCAATATAGAATAACTATAAGATGTTAAAAATTCTAAAAAGAATGATATTCTTCTATGTTATTTCTATGTCTACTTTCTAAGTAATATTTTTTTATAATCTATGTTTACTTTCTATAATTAATCTTTTAAGCCATTTTTTTGTTAATTTACTAATTATATATAATATTTAAAATTATATTAATAAAATATATTTAAATAGATTCTAGTAATGATTACATATTATTGATTTTGTCTTTAATGTAATTATAGAAAATAATTGGTACAAAATTATAAGTTTAATGAATTATTAATCATATCTAATTTTTTTAAAGATGTTATAGAAGAGTCTATTTACATATATTGACTTTTAAAGTTTTAAATATTAAAATTAGATACTAAAAATAATAAATTATGAAAATATTTATTGATACTTCATTTTTTTTAAAGACTTTACTTTATTCAGAAATATGTTATTCAATACACTTATTCTAATTTTTACTTCTTTTTATTCAAAGTTATAAAAGAAAAAAGAAAAAAAAAAAATTACCTCAGATTTATAGAGATTTCCAATACTAATTTCAAAGTAGGAATTTCAGAAATCTTAAAAGAATTGAGTTTGAGTTTTTATTCTTTTCTTTTTTATTTGTGAATGAATTGTTCATAGATTTCTACTAAAAGTACAAGAAATAGATTGATTTTTTTAAAGTATTTATATTCAAAATTTGTAATATAAAAGTTTTTGCACTAGTAGATTGGTACATGGTAGAATAAACTAAAATTTGAAGTGCTATATATGGTAGACTTTGGAATGGGTGGTTGGAAAAAAAAATGAAAGAAAATTTATTAAAATAGGTTAAAATTTTCTTGGGCTATATCAAAATCTATTCATGTGCCATTAAAATATTTCTCTTATATTTATAGTTATATTTCTTTTTATTTATTTGTAAAAAAAATGAAGTACTTGAGCTAAGATATGCCAATCTAGAGTTTGAGAGAAACATGTATGTTTTATTTATTGTAATATATATATATATATATATATATATATATATATATATGTATATAGATCTTTCACCCAAAATGTTGAAGTAGAACATCACATTGCCACTCAACAAATGTGTCTCTAGTAAGTGTACAAAATATGGTTGGAGCAAGGAACTAGAGGTGAACAAGTCCATGTGATCAATCACAATATTCTACAATTTCTAATGATCAAAATACAATCATACCATAAATTTGTGATATTGGTGTCAAAATTAGACGAAAAAAACTTGCTATATGTATGTCACTATTCTATTTTTCAGCAAAAGGGAGATATATATATATATATATATATATTAATGCATTCTGTTACAATACACAATAACATTTGTTGAGTCTACAAACACAAGCAAGTTCAAAGTGCATTTTTGCAAATCTAACATGAAACCAGAGTGGTAGATTTTTATTCTAGTTCCATGTTAAAACCATGTGACAAAGTTGAATCTTCAAGTTCAAATCCATACAAACATCCTAGAATGTGTCGAAATGGGAAAACTCATAAAAATAAAAATAAAAAATCACAATATGATTTCAATTTTGTCCTTTTTTTTCCCCATCTAGTATCATTTCTTTGGGGGGACGTTTTTCCCCATCTAGTATCATTTTATAGTTACGTCTTACCTTAGAATCATAAGTAAGACGTAACTATAAAATGATAAAAAACAAAAGAGTCTGCTGATGCAGTGAGCAATTCGGGGCTAGGCCACAAGTCACACACACAGTGTGGTACTCTCGCCTTGTCTTATGAATGAATGCTTTATTATACGACTGGAACAAAGCTTCTAGACAAGGGGGGGGGGGTGGGCCTAGTAGTAGCTTCCTACTCTGGGGAAGGAATAGAAGAGAGGAGAAGAGGAGTGAAGCGGAGAGAGAGACCCACTTGAATCTAACCAAGCCCTCTTGTCAAGCTCCAATGGCCCACATGTTCGCCGCCGAGTGAAAATCTCCAAGACCCCACTCCACTAACCACACTTCACTAGTTACTCTCTGGATCTCACCACGGCCTTACTTTGGGTTGGGTTGGGGGGGGGGGGCATTCACACTGCGCAAATGGACTCAGAAGGGCTCCAGCATGGTCTGTGCTCCTTTTCCTTTTGCTTGCTTTCCCTCCTTGAATGAGGAGTTGAGGTGCTAACATAGCCCCACTTCCCCTTCCTCTGGTCTTGTTTTGGCCCTTTGTGCTTTGGCTTCTCCCAGTGGGGCTTTGGATGGTAGTATGGACTGACTGCATGCATGGTTTCAACTCTAGTAGTGGGGCTGATCCACCACCACCACCCACAGGATGGTTGATTGATTTCTTGCATCATTGCCAGGAATATCCCCCATTCTTCAAAGTCAACGTGTAGGAGGGAAAGGGAAGGGAGGGAAGGGCCCCCTCAAGCTTTCCACTCTGCAAGCAGTACATCCTTTTCAGTAATAAATAGGTCATGGGAATGATTGCATGCTTTTTTTTACTGCCACATAGGAGGGTAAATCCCTTCTTGTACAATTCTGGTTCTTAATGATTGTTCAGTTAATTGATTGCCCTAATTCTTGCCCAACCCCCCCCCCTCCCTTGTTTGATAACAAAATTATTCCTTCACATAATAATGTAACTTCTTTAGGCTTCTTGGTTGCAGAGGAGAGTTGCTTGTGATGTGAAGCAGCTCTACACAAGGAAGATGACGTGCCACACACAGTATTTGACGCTGTGCAGCGAGAATGACGGAGGAAGGGGAAGTTGGGCCAAGGTTGTCTGCTCACGCAAAATCAGCGAAGAGGGGATTTTGGGCGGGGGGATAAGTTAAGCTGCAAGGAACGTCGATCGTGTTCGAGAGCGAGGAATTCAAGCGAGAGAACGCGGATCCCCCCACACGGGAACGTCAGGATGAGGGTGAGAGAGAGGGAGTGTGGGAGAAAGTGAGGAGGGCACCTCCCTCTCCCGTCGGGTGGTATTGTCGTGGGAGGCTGGCTGCTCAGTGCGGGCTTGGCGCGGGCGGGGGGGGGGGCGCATGGGCGTGCGCACGTCAGCCAGCAGGATCACTCTCCCTCTCTCCCCCTCACGGCGCGCTCTTCCCCCCTGTGTCCAGCCTGGCCCCCCCTGCGTCCATGTCTCCGGCTTCGTGCTTCCAGACTACCGACGCCGTTTTAACCCCCCTTGCTCGCTCGCTTACCCGTCGCTTCCCTGCCGCGGGCCCTACGCGGAGTGGGGCCCGCCTCGTCCTTTCCCTGCGCCCGCATGAGAAGCGGGGGCAGGACAGGGGAGGAGGGTCCCACATCCATTGGCGACATGCGAGCAAGCGAGAGCTTCCTTGAGGCTGCTGCTCCTTCCCCCTACAGCCAAGACTCTGTCGTTTGTTCTTTGTCCCATTCGCATCGCCCTGTCCCTCCCGCCTACAACACCCCCCCCCCCCGCCCCCTGCTCTTCCTTCTCCTCCTCCTTCTCCTCCTTTTCTTGTGAAGAGCATCTCATTCTCCACCAGTATTCGTTTGCCTCTTCTACGTCTCCTCTTCGGTGCAATCACTGCATGCGGTCTGTGCTGCTGTGTTTGCCGAGTAGTATAGAGTCGCTGATGCTCGAGCCCCTTCGCGATTCTTTGCTGCACTTGCATGGACCTAAAGGTTTAAGGAGTCGATCATCTAGGAAAGGAAAATTCGCTATTGCAGCTGCGAATGTAGGTGGTGCGTAGCTTTTCAATGTCGGAAGCTTAGTGCGCCGCTTGGTTTGCACGGTGAAGAAGAATTCTCTGAGTTGAGAATGCTCTGTGGCGAGTGTAATCTGGACAGGGATTGCGGACAGGCTTGGTACTTGCCAGCTACTTGGAATTAAATCCGTGAGAAAGGCTGACTGGCCGGAAGCCTCCAGGCTGCCAAAATGGGAAGAGTGAAGTTAGAGATTAAGAAGATTGAAAACCCGACAAACAGACAAGTTACATACTCTAAAAGGCGGAATGGCCTGATTAAGAAGGCGTATGAGTTGTCAGTGCTTTGTGATATCGACCTCGCATTGATCATGTTCTCGCCCTCAGGAAAACTCACGCAGTACAGTAACTGCAGGTCCGAATTTCGATCCTTGCCCTGAACAAGTACCTGCAAATGCCGATTGCAGTCTCTTCACACAGTAGAGCGGCTATAGCAGATTGTAGTTTCTACTGTTGTTTGTTATTTGATTGCTTGCTAGTAAATTTGTTTGTTTTCTTTTCCTTTTTCTTTCGTTCGGACCAACTTATTAGCGCTTCGAACCTCTTTGGTACTTGTGTTCAAAACTTGCCCTGGGATTGTCCACCTTGATCTATGATTTACCGTAGTAATACCAACGCTATTCATTCACCTGATTATCTGCTACTGTTTATTCGAGAAATCGTCGAGCACGAGTCACTGAATTGTCGCTGGGAGTGTTTCTATCTTCTCGGAGACTTAAACGACTGGCAGCTGCACATTCGCAATATGAGATGACAGGGTCCACTTCAGAGTAATTTTCTGTCTTTAATTCGTCTCACATTTGCCAGAAAACTGACACTTTCAGTGTGGTGCAGTATCGAAGATGTCATCGGTCGATTCGCTAACTTACCCATGCACGAGCGAAACAAAAGGTAATACGAACACTGATTCGTTCAGGAAGCTACATTTGAATCTTACTCACAGTAGAGCAGGCGTCAGAGTGGAATCTGAGTACTTTCTCCATCTTCCTTGCGGTTTTGCAGTTTTGAGGACATGCTGGCTCGGTTTGCAAATTTCCACATGATTCATGATCGGAACAAATATACTAGGTAAAAACCATTTCACTTTAAAACGATGTTAATTTCTTTCGGAAATCAGTATTATATTATCTTGCGGACCGTATATTGTGTACTACTTATTCGTGCAGCGTTGAAAATGTACTTATCAATGGCGTGTGGAAATGTGCGTTTTCGCTATCTTCGCTCTGGACTGCATTCGCATCATGCAGAAAAATCGAGAACTTGGAGGTGAGCGGAGCTCCATCCCCTAAACCCTAACTTCCACATAATTTTATAAGGATGCGAAGTGTTACCATAGAAAGCTTGACACTTACCATAGAAAGCTTGACAGTTCTTCCTGTAATAGTTACATGCGGTGCATACCAAGTCACACTAAGAAATTTATCACCGATTGCAGAATCTTCATAAAGCACTGAAAAAGCTCTCCGGAGAGAAAGACCCCGCGACAAATCAACCTTACCTTTTTGGAAGGTTAGAACTGTCTTTTCATCAAGGTTTTTGTATATCTCAAGTAGTCTTGTTGCTGGCTGATGCGGACTTCTATTGTATCGACACTGTTGCGCTATTTCCACTTCGTCAGAAATTGAGCGTTTATGGACACCTCATTTGTAGTAGAACTTTTGTATACTAATATTCTACGGATTGTGTTGTTGTGTTGTGCTTTGCGACTGTTGCAGCAAGAGCTATGAAGTCGGGGTGCGTCATCACTTTGTTGGCCCGGATCTTTCGCTCCTTTTTTATTGAGGATATCTATTGGGGTCTCTTAGAGCGGTGGAGATTTTAGTTGTCGATGATAATGCAGTGATATTCGAGGTCGTGTCAAGCTGGAATTTTCTGTTTGACGAGCGTCTGGCTGCGGCATGTGTTATGTAGCCAGTGGCTATAATGTGATAAATCTGGATTTGGTAAATATCAAAAGCAGATGAGTTGTATACTAAATTCAAATCTTGTGAACTTGTACTTTTGATCAGTTGTTGCAAGAGGAGTTGAAGAAATCACAACAAGAGAAAGAGCTAGTGCAACAAAGAGCGCGGCTGTATCTGGCGGACGAGCAACTGCTGCAAAGTGTTACCTCCGTCCAGCAGTTGGCGAACATGGAAACTGAATTGGAACAAGCACTCGAACGAGTGCGAGCAAGAAAGGTTTGTGTCCTAAGTTTTCTTAGTTCAATTATGTTGCATTGTTCTTCACGATTTAGCTCCCCGGTGAACAGAGTTAAGCTCGTTGAAGTCTTACCAAAGATGTTGTGTTTCAGACTTACGTGAGCAGTGCGTACCAAACTGCTAATGTTATGCAAAGACAGCAACGCGAATTCTTGGGAAATAGTTGTCATCAGGTGATTATGCAGCATAACGTCTGCACGGTATTTTGTATTCATGGAGTACTTTAACATACTCTTAATTGGAGTGATCGTGTCTGAGGAAGTTCCTAAATCTTATATGCTAAATTCAAATTTTGTTTTCGAATACTTGTCTGCTACGACGAGCCCTGTTGTAATGAAAGCATTGCGTTATCCTAATAAAACTTTCGTTCGCGCTTCTTCCAGATGATGGCCATGCGCCAACAGCAGCAGCAGCAGCAACAACATCATCATCAACAGCGAGCCAACATGGCAGGGACGCAATCATCATTCTTACAATGGTCCATGGCAGAGCGTGGAGAGGCAACTCTTCAAGATTTCATGGAGCAGCAAACGAATCCTGCAGCTGCACTTATGCCAACACCCTTAGCTAGGTACGGAATCAATCGTCAACTAGTATGTATATGCATGGACAAGTGTTCAAATTTTTAGCTGCCAGATGTAAATCTCTCTGCTGATCTGTTATTCCCGTTTGTTATCACAGTCGAGAGGTGCCCAGCAGTGGTGAAACAAATCCCACCAGTTTCTTCGGATCTGCATCACAACCAACTTTGCAATCACTGGGGCATATCCATATTTTGGGTAATAACCGAGGTCTGAATATGCACGATATGGCTATGGATCAAACTTCTGCGCAGTACGATGACCAAAAGAAAGCCAAACTTGAAGTGGACATGGGATTTGCATCGTCAACAAGTAATGAGGCGGTTACAGAGGCAGCTGCAGACTCTTTTACCAATCAGTCTGAACATGTAAGCGCTACTGCTTCAAATTGGCATCAGGCACACCATCATACGCAAGCATACACCAGCCCCCAGTACCCAACGAGTTACTTCACTCAGGTACAGTAGTTCTGCACTATCAGAATTGTCTTTCAAAGCTTTTCCAGCCCCCTCATGTTAGTTGCCTATCGAATGGTCGAAAGCACACTTAAAGACCTTTTATGTACAGACCGCTGAGGCGTGGAAATAGTACAAGTTTGAAGAAGTTCGACAATCAATTGGCATATCTTTAAAGGGCGTATTCAGAAAACGTGGAGATAGAATCGTGCTTTCGGATCAGTTGGCTGAAGTACCTCAGCCGTGTCGATTTTGTTGGTAATCACGTAGCATGCTTACATATATCACACCACCAAAGGATTAAAATCTTGGGGCCTGATGATTGAAGGCGATCGGTGAGAGTGCCATTCAGACAGCCATCACCAATGTCTGTTTTGTTACCTGGCCCTCCGATCGACAGGTCGCTAGCCGTCCCCTGCACGGCACATTGGCCCATTCCAACTCGTGTTTTGAACACTGTAGGATGAAAATAGGACAAGCTTCGACACTCAACGACACCGATGAGAATGAGATATATGTGGCTTTAAATTATGCCTCTGAGGAATAGTCCTTAGTTCCAAATTCAAAAGAGAAACAGTCTCGTATACGTGAATTCAAAGAGGCTCAGACAGGCGTCTCGTGTGTCGAATCTTGTCCCTCCCGCTGAGGATTGTAGCGGCAGCTGTATCTCCAAACAGTTGAACGTATTTTAATTTCATCGTAGGCGAAGCCTTATCTTATTTGAGAGTTCAGTATCCACTGTGAAATGCTTGAACTGCTCGACAAAATGTAAACTTTACCATTCGGGTTGATTCTTTTCCAATATTAAAATTTCTGACTGTTTGGACAGTTCCCGATGCTCCATCAATGAATCGTGCAGTTCATTTCAGCAGTTACCTAGGGAGAATTCGTGTAGGAAACTCGGGCTTTAATTACTCGGGGTCAAATAGTTTCCCCTTCTTCACTGTCCAGTCGTGTCTCTTCATTTTTGTCTTTTGGACTTCCAAGATAAAGGGATACCTTGAAGAAGGAACCAGACAACAAAACTATAACTATGCCACGCAAGCAGCGAATGCTGTTTTGTGTTGTCATGTACTCCTCAACCCAAGCCTGGATTCGTGAAAACAACAGTTACATCTATTACGGTGACATTTTCGCTGTTTCGAACCTGATCCTTCGTGAGCAAGAGTAGCGATGAGGAAAGTGCGTGTAAAATACCAGGAATGCCTTTACTTATATGTCTAATTACTTTCCCGATGATGCCACAGATATCGTCAAAGTTTTCAATGCTTGTGCCAAAATTCTGAAGGTGGAGGTCAACCGCAACAGATCGATGCCAAGGCTGGACCCTGTCACTGAAAGGTTCTCGTCGTTCTGCCCACATTCTTGTGCACGTCGTGGATTGTGGGCCATGGTGGCCCCTCGCCCGCATTTGCGGGCCCAGCAGCTGGCAGCTTGCGGCTCCCATCGGTGGCCCGTTCAGGGTTTCCAGGTCCGCGACTAGGCATCTGCGTTTCTGGGTCCCGTGCCCCGCAGGACAAGGGGAAGTTGATGACAAAAAGCCTCGAGTTCTGCCAATTGTTCCACACTGAAAACCTGGAAGGGAGGGAAATTTCTCTCTTGCCTAACCTCCTTCCTTCAACAACGGGCTCGGATCATCACTGGAACACGACGCTCAACATCGGTGACAAGGCCACGACACAGATGCTCTCCTGAAAGAGAATCTAGTCCGGGATGTGAAAACTGTCCTACAGCTGCAACCTCCGCTTCATCCTCCAGTTGCTTCTGTTCCACCTCCACAAGCCTGATATTCCCTAGTCATGAGATACGCATGCAAACTCGGCATGAAGTATGGCACCCTCGTCTGCACTGGGTCGGATGCCGCTGTTGCTGCAAACGAATAGTCAAGCACTTGTGTGGATCTCCGGAACGGCATCCGATTCAGGCAACGCCAAACCCCCTTGTTTTCTGAAGGCTTGATTCACACTGACAAATGTTATGATAGAGTGTCATTCATTTCCCGGAGAAATCGACTATTGAGGAGCAAAAGCGTACTGGCATCCGCTTAGCGGTCCCGCTGTTTGAAAGATTCGTCCTAATTTAGCGCCGAAAAGGAAGTTTAGCCCCGTGCCTCACAAGGACATCACTCCCCATGGCGACAACGAGACAAACACACAGAGGCGCCGCTTAAATTTGGGGGAAGCTTGTTTTCCCCATCACCCTTGTGGATCCCCCTCCAAAGCTCTCAGGCTTTAAGCATAATTACCCAGATGCCACTGTGGTTAGTTTTCTTCGGAATGCAAATCCAACAAATTATAATCACATTGAACTCAAGCCCGGAGACAGCATTACCTTATTGATCTTGAGAATTTGGCGATAGAATTTCAGTGCTGATTGAAAGAGAAAAAAAACCCTTTCATCCCTCATTATTTCTTACCTCTAGCATTGTGAATGAGACAATACGTTTTTAAAGAAACAAACAAATGAGTATTACTGTCCATACAAACACTGTCTTTCACCTGCTGTGATGTGTATTTGGGATAATTCTTTGTTTTATCTTAGAGAATGCAAATTGATATCTTAAAAACCTTAAAATGATTTAGTTACGTATTGTAGTATACAATGTTACATATAACTCTAACTATATGTTTTGTACATGACAAACTAAGATGAAGTAATTTTACTCTGTTTCATTGAGTGAGTATATCTATCTATATATATATATATAAGAGACTAAAAAATATAATTGGGATTGTTTTAATGTGGTCTGTTGGTTATGATAACATGTAACGACAAACCTTGATTCAACAAAAAGTGTCATGAAAACATTATTACATTTTTTGTGTGTTCTGTTTTTCCACTAAGTTTGAAATGATTATGAATGAATTATAAAGTGGCCATATAGCTAGTACAATTACAAGTTCAAACACTTTTCTGGAAATAGAAAAAATAGAAATAAAACTTTACAACTTGTAAAAAAGTTGCCCTTTTCTTTGTCGATGGCATAACAGATACAACAAAAATTTGATTTAAAAATCATTAATACTATAATCCTTATCATCATATGTTTTTATTGGGAACAAATTGATAGCTTTTAACTTAAATCACCTACTTACAATCTTGAAAATAAATACACATAAGTCCTCGTTTATTTTAACAATGATGTGTGTACTGTATTAGTACACGTGACTGCACCACTATGATTGTTTTGTTGGAAGCATGATACTCTTATTCATTTTCACATTTTCAAAAGAGGTATCTGAACAAGTTACCGTCCGCGATACTTTATTCAAAGCAAAACTCCCAAAATACTCTCCTTCGGATTCATACACACACAGATATATGTGTATGTGTATGTCACAGCGATGTTGATATATATATATATATATATATATATATATATATTTTTGACAACATCCCGATCATCAGAAGTGTAAATGAATTCCGAGACATCTGCGTCGTGGATGGATCTCGCATGCAATCGCCACCAGTTGCGAATTGTCGGTGATGGAAGAGAGCCGGATCAGCGGCAGATCAGATGCCTGAATGTCCAATGTTGGATTCATTTGTGGGCACGCCGATCCATGGCTCCATCGCTGCTGAAATCGACACAATAGGGGTCCCATTCTTCGCCCGTCGTGGTCGAGAGACATATGTCGCATCTGCACAACGAAGGAATTGCAAGGCTTCGAAATTTAGCTAAACTTTCCTATGTTTCTGGGGGTTAGGTATTTCTAGGGATCGTTGTTAAGGCAGGGCCGGTTGCAGGTGCTCCAAAAGTGGTGGGCTAATTGATCGACGCAGTGGAGCAATGCTATATTTACTCTCCCACCATGTCCCATCCATACATCACTGTACGCACCAAATCGTCCGGAGCTGATGACACTCGACACCGAATCTCTAGTATCAGTTAGCTATCCGATGCACTGGGTAACGACCGTCCTAGCTTGGGAGTATCCTCGTCTTAATCGTAGCCTGCACCCACTTCATTCCCTCGGATGTGTGCAAAGTCACAAAACAGATCCTCGGTTCACTTGAAGCAGTACGAGGTTTAGAATTCCCACATCCTGCTTCTCGGTTTCGGGTTCTTCCAGTACCTGCGACACTACTGTAGCAGGTATGTGCTGGGGGAAAGAATCTGCGTGAAAGGAAACGCAAAGTGGACTTCGGTCTCAGATGGCCTGTGAAAGGCATTGGCTGGTTTGAAGTTGGCGTCGAGAAGCAAATATTGCGGCAGGACAAAAAAAAAAAAAAAAAAAAAAAACACACAGGCTTTGCTATAGGCAGGAAGCTGACGCAATCGTTCTCTTCGCTTTCGAACTCCGCACAGGCTTTGTAAACCTCGGCTGGTTTTCGCCCATAGGATAGCCCCTTAGCGCAGGTGCACACTAATGACTTTCGATGCCCCCAGAGCAAACATGAGGTCATCATAACTAGAGACACCGCTGCCATCCTAATCTCTCTGACACCTGAGCATGTCCTTTGTGTCAGTCGTGGTTGGGAGGGCCTACGCTTTGCCATCCTGCAACAAAGAGGCGATGCGTTGGCACGCCCCTCTGACGGCAGTGACCGATGAGTAGGCGATACTTTTGAGTTGGCACCCAGTGTTTAATGGCAGGTTTTTTCCCCACCTTTCATTTCCCACACGCTCTCCCTGGAAGCGGATGCTACACTCACGATGCACAAATGGCTCCGTCCACACCGTCCGGTGTCTTTCATGGTCAAGGTGACCAAGGGCACGACATTTCCTACCTTCCTTTTGCCGTTACCACCCATCTATTAGGTCACCCCTGACAGGCTCCAAAAACTTCCAAGATTCACCCCCTTTTCGAAACTTCGGTGTTGTTGAATCTGCTTTATTTCCGGTCTTTGTTCTGCTCGTGTGTGGCTAGTTCAGATTTTTACCCCGCATTGTGCAACATAGTAACTTCGAGGAGAAGCACACTGGTATTGTTGTTGCTGTTGTCGTTGTGATGTGATGCGAGGGCTTTGGAAAAACTTAGTCAGACTGATGAACCCTCAGAAGGAGCCAATGCCTGCTTCTCTTCATGCGTGTCAGTCAGATTCTGGCATGGCGGACAAGTGGATATGTTGGTCTGCTCCACTGCACCAAGCTTATAATATTCCAGTCAACAATAGTCGATCTCCATCGCATTGACTTGAGTTGCAATTCTTAGACACGAGTTAAAACCCACCCAATCCCCTCCCCGCCCCTCTTCCCCTTTGTTCTGTAATTTCCGATTTCTAAATTTTTTTATTTTATTTGTTGGAGATACGGCAACGTGCAACAGATGAGTTTCCCAACCTTCAACGGGTGATGAAATTTGCGGCGTGACGTGCCTAAGGGAAGTAGATAGCAAAGCTGGTTGACTTGATAAAAGTTGGGGGTGGTTTCATCATCACTGTTAGTACGCTGGAGTGCTCTGGTACCCTGCAGGTCCGCGATGAACTACCCTTATGATTGCATGATGATGTGTGAGCACACAAATTTTCTGAAGGACCAGATTGCTGCAAGTGGAAGGGGTTGTGCCGCGGTGTGCGGCTGGTGAGAAGACAACTTGGAGCTGTTACACTCGAGCTACAGACTCGTATCTGGGATTCCTCAATAACTATCAGTTGGGGCGAAGAAACTGTTGCTCTGGATCTGGTTGGGGGAGGCCAGATTCGTGTGGTTTGATCGGTTGGCCCGATGGGTAAGAAGAGGCTCAGTTATCGCTAGTATAGACTTCGTTTTTAATTCTGATTCTCCGTGACCAGATCGTGTTCTTGAGTTGCGAGTTGAAAAGTTTATTTTGGAAAACATTCAAACGATTCATCATTTACGAACCCGAAACACAGGAATATTCTCCTTTCTCGATCACACTGGTTTCATTTTTCGCCGGATAATTCTACGGGGCCCACTGGAAATCGGAGCAAGGGTCCACCAGGAGGATGCTCGCCGTCTTCGTTGGCGTGCCCACGGTCTCAGCTGGGTCTTGTATAGCTCTGGAAGCATTCCTCATCAAACTATTCCTCTCTCAACTCACATATTGTTCTGGATGTTGAGATTTTGTTTTTTTTTTGGCTTTTTTTGGTTTCCCTCCTTTCTGCACTTGGCCAGTTTGGGAGGGTTTGACGTAGAGCCGACCAGTCGAAACCGTGGAACTCCCTATCCCAACACATCTTCTCGTCGTTGTGGTCGCGGAATCCCCGCGTTGGGTGATGTAAGTGGAAGTCGGCGTAGCATTTCATGCCGCGAGAGAATGATGGGATGATGCGGTGGCTGTTTGTTTGATCAAGATAAACATGGAGGTGGGAACTGCCGGAACTCATGTCAACGCTGTCTAGATATTTATAGTCGGTAAGGGCCAAGCGTGCGTGTGTGCACTTTGTCGAGGATTCTGCCAGGAATTTGGAGAGCGGTCGTCGCGTGCTTAGTGGGTTACAGTAGTGTACACTTAGTGTGTGTGTGTGAGAGAGAGAGAGACACACACACAGCGAGAGTAACTGGAGTGACCTGGGAGTTTTAAAGTTTTTGGGTTCGGCTGGCGGTGCATTCAAAGAGGGGATTGTAGCAGCGGCAGAGATGGGGAGGGTTAAGTTGGAGATAAAAAAGATCGAGAACCCGACTAACCGACAGGTGACATTCTCGAAGAGACGCAACGGCCTCATCAAGAAGGCGTATGAGTTGTCAGTGCTATGCGATATTGACTTAGCGCTCATCATGTTCTCGCCGTCTGGCAAGCTCACGCAGTATTGCAATTGCAGGTAGTGTGATACATATTCCTACTCCCACCGCCTGCAGTAGTGCTAGAATCTCTTTGTCACATGGCTCTAATGCCTCTGCAATCATGTAACAAAACCTAGGTCGTTCTGAAATGTTAACCCAGACGTTGTGAGTCCCCTAGGCGGCCTTCATCTTGCTTTGTGGTTTGATGCACGCTCCATATACCGTTCACGCTACACCGACAAGTTCATTGTTTCTAGTTGCTTAGTTAGGAGAGGGACGCTTAGGCGTGAGCTTTCACGAATAATTCTAACGCTTTTCAAAAATAGTGCAAGGCCGTGAGTCGTGGTCGCTTCACGCCTGATGAGAGTGACAGGCGGATTTCCTTCTGAATTTTGCCTGTAGCCTTACTTGCCCTATTTCTGAATTTCTGCGTCAATACCTTTAACGGATGATTAGGCTGTGAACTTCGAGTGAAAGGTGGAGTTACTGCGAGTACAGTTAAATGATTACTCCACTCTGATATAGAGACTAGCGAGTGGATCTTTTCTAGTTTTGAGTTGCGTTTTGACTGATTTAGGCAATTCGCTTTGTATCGCAGCATTGAAGAAGTCATCGCCAGATTTGCCAATTTGCCCATGCACGAGCGGAACAAGAGGTACGCGCATTGTCTGGTGTTCATTCAGATCTTTTAACGTGAATGACTTCGTCGTTCGCTGTTCCAAAACCCCTTTCTATTTTTAAATACGGCACATAGCAAATCAGTGAAATGGCTTTGTGATCGAGCAGTTTTGAGGATATGTTGGCACGCTTTTCGAACAATCACATGCACCATGACCGCAGCAAATACAATAGGTGTGCATCCCTTTTCTTTCTGTCGTTGTTTTAAGGTCGATCCTAGTAGTGTACCATTTCCTTCTCGGCTCCTTGAACTTGGCTTTAGTCCGTTTCTGAGTGCGTCGCAGTTATTTCAGATGAGGTGACGTTTCCTTCTGATCAAGATTTTACATGCGACTCAAATTGGTATTCTGATCAATGACTTGTTGTGTTATCTGTCGGGGGCTATCTCTTTCAGGAAGGTTGAAAACTTGGAGGTAAGTTCAAACGGTTTTTGGTCCCATGCTTCCCACTAATCACATCTTTCAAGCACCAATGCCTGGTATTGTAAAAGCATCAGAAGCCTAGTATTTTGTATGCTTAGCTGAGTAGCGTGATTGTTTGCATGAATGCAGCAGCTGCAAAGGGCGTTGAAAAAGCTCGCAGAAGAACATGGTCTTGCCGCTAGTCAAGATCATTTGTCTGGAAGGTTAGCCTTGTTGTGAATGCACTTTAAGTTAAATGAAAAATGGGTTTCTGCATTCAGGGAGAAGTTGGTAATGTTCGTCTTACGCTCAAATTATTATTCAGTAACTCTACTCCTGAGCTTTGTAAAAGATATGGTACTCACTTTTGTGAGAAATTGTGCGTGTGTGCGTGTGTGTGCGTGCGCGCGATCCTGTGTTGCGTGGACCTTTTAACAGTAAATCAACGTATGAAATCGAGGTCATCTCTCGTCCTTGTGCTGTAACACTATCTTCCAAGTTATTTGACATTGTCATGAGTTTCTTGAGTGTCCTCTCTAATTGTTAACAGACAGTTTACGCCAGATATCCTCTCTTATGATTTCGAGTCCTGGATAGTGATTAACCTACGGTTACATACTTTTGTGAAGCCTACGTACTGTAATTGAGATTTGGATTTAGGGCGTCGGAAGAGATACAGTTTAACTTTTTTTATTTTGTCGGCATAGCAGTTATTGCAACAGGAGTTAAAGAAAGCACAACAAGAGAAGGAATTGGTGCAACAGAGAGCAAGGTGCATCATTGGTTTTTGTGTTATTCAAAAGCATTGTCATGCATTTCAAGTTTCAAAGAATCTTGTTTCATGTAACTCCAGTTGCTTGCTTGACTGACTTGTTCTATCAATCTAAAAAGTGAAGTTGAGTTGACATGATCAGTCGGTTCATTTTACTCTCAGGTTGTACTTGGCTGATGAGCAGCTTTTGCAAGGTGTTACCTCCGTTCCGCAGCTTGCTAATATGGAAAGCGAATTAGAGCAGGCACTTGAGCGTGTGCGGGCGAGAAAGGTAGATGATCTTATTCATATGTTGACTTCATCAAAGGGATTTGTTACGGATAGGTTCTTTTCCTTGAAATGCTGTCTGACTTTTGACATTGTCTTTGTTATTTAATGTAATGTGCAGAATTATGTGAGCAGTGCTTACCAGAATGTAATACAACGGCAGCAACATGAATTTCTTGGGAATAGTTTGCAGGTATTAATATCTGCATTTCTCAAGCGAGCATCATTATCATTTACTTTTTTGCGAATTTCATATCTTGAAGCAAATCTAACTTCACTGTTTCTTTTTTTTTTGGTAAAATCAATTAAGTTAAACATGATGAATTTGTTTCTTTTCAGCCTCGAATTAAACTGAAATGCTGTTATAAAAGTCCACAATGGACTCCGTAGTAGTATTTTAGCTCGAGGATCAGTTGAAAATTTAACAATCTTGGTTTGGACATGCTTGCACCGCGAGGTTACAATCCTGTTCACAAGGATAACATGGGCTTTTAGCTTCCATGCAGATGATGGCACTGAGACAGCAGCAATCGCAGCAAGCGCAGCAACAGCAGGCAGGCATGACACCATCACAGGTACCATACATGCACTGGACGATGCAACAAGAGCGCCCAGAACCTACACCCCAAGATTTTATGGAACAGCAAACGAATCCAGCTGCTCCACTCATGCATGCATCGCTCAACAGGTACGTGGCCACGCCAGATTCTCCTTCGCAAAAGCTTTTCTAAACTTCGTATTTTCCAAATTGTTCCGCTGTAGCTGCTCCCTGTCGTGCCCCTTACGTTAGCCTGAATGTGGTTTTTATGAACAGAGAGCCAGGAAGTAACGGTGAATCAAATCCAGGTGTGGGATATTTCCCATCTGGACCACAACCATCGAACATGGAAACACTGCGGCAAATTGGGATGGGGGGTGTCAGTCGAGGATTGACAATGCACGAGATGTCGCTGGAACAGCCGAATGTGGCCCAGTACAGTGAGGAGCAGAAAAAAGCGAAGGTTGAAGCCAGCATGGGCTTTGTTACCTCAACCAGTGCGGGTCCGGTTGGCGCTGAAGCAGTGTCAAAGACTAATTTTTCTCGAGAGCAACAACCTGAACAGGCTCATGGCACCGTCAGCGCTTCAGAGTGGCCGCCACACCCGGCGAACCATCACCCTCATGCGTACGGTAACGGCAGTCTATTCTTCAGCCAGGTACAGTACACTGATCTGCTGCCTCTCTTTCGCAGCGACTCACTTTCACCTTCCCAACCGTCATGCACAACTACGAATCACGTCAACACGAGTTTGTAGTTGTGTGCGTCATTGAAGTTTTCCCCTTTTCTCATGTGCAGAATGAACACCATGCATGGAAGTAAGTTGCGTGGACTTGCAATCTTTTTAGTTTTAGACACGTAGTTGAAGAAGCAGCTTCATATGGGATACAGACGGCTCATCCAAGTCAAACCACTTCGGTGTCAACTACTCAGTCGGCTGTATCAATTTGTGGACAAGAGATGATATCAGTGAACTTTCGAGTGACGCTCGTGGGATCATGAATCTGACCACTGGTGGAAGTTTTGTGATCTTGGCGCTGTGCTACGTAGAGCAGCTATCACCCATGTGTGTTCGTTGTACCCCACCTCTGAAGAAAAACAAAAAAGCAAAAACAAAAAATACAAAAAAACAACCCATTTCATCTACGTCACGCGTTCCGCCTAGTCAAGCATTTGGATCAGCGCCAGTGGTTCAGCAAACAGGTTGCACATTTTCCATGGTGCTTTAAGAGGTGGCCCCGCATTCAGAGGATAGTATGACTCTAAAGCTATATTGTAGTCCATGGCAATCCATTCCGGTGTAGAAGTGGGCTCGTCAGTTGCGAATACGTACCACCTTTAGATTCCCTTCTTGCAATTTTTCAGCAAGTAGGTTGTACCATGCTTAGTGTGACTGTTCCTCGTCGTGTAATCAAGACACTGACTGTTGGGGTAGTCTTGGCATGACATTGTCCAGTCAAATGATTCTTTAATATTTTCATTAGTTTGCAGAAAGCTTAGTGGATGTGGGTGGACGGACGAATCTGTTTTCTTTCACATGGTGAACCACAATGACTGCATAATCCTCGCAAAAGTCCAAATGGGTGCTATAGAAAAGTCTTACCATTTCCTCTGTTCCACTCATCGAAGGTATTACAACCTGGCAGAGCACCAAGCGTAAATCCTTGATTATAAGGGAATTCAAGTGAATCATCCATAACGATACCCACCTAGCTCCATTGTTCAAGGTTGCCAGACCTAGATGTAATACCCCAGGGACATTCATTGGTGTATACTTTTATGGGAACTGGCAATCATGCTAACTCTCCAGCTTCTGGCAACCATCCTCAACTTTCTTGCAAGCTGAGACTTCACAAGTTTCGTCGATGAGCGGTGAGCATTTCCATCAAAGCAGTTCTTGTCTATACATGCTTTAGTAGATTAGAGAGATGGTTCGGTTGTGTGAAAATGTTTTTTTTTAAATGCAAAAATCTTCAATGTTCTCAATGTGAATCTTGCAGTGCAAGAACATTGTTGCAATGTGCTTGCCTATTATACTGGTTTGTGAGTGTTTTTGTTTGTTAGAAGCAAGTTTTGAATTTTGGAGATTGTTTTGAGCTCTGTTCAGAAAGATTTTTGTATGTTTTGGTGGTAAAAATGTTGCAACAAGATGTTTCCAATTATTTGATGTGATAATTTGTTTGTTTTGGTTTCATTTTGTGAAGTATATCATTGTCGATTTCTTTGAGCTTTTATAGTACATCTATAACTAGCATTCTTTTTGCTAGTGTTTTCTAGTGATTTCTAGTGATTTCTAGTGTTTTAATATATAATAAAATATCCAATCCATCTTTTCTTATTATATTATAACTATTTTTGAAAGTTATGATTCAATTTAAAAGAACGGTTTTTGTCAAATATAAATAAACAAAGAATCAACTGTTTTTTTTTCAACTTAAAAGTATAATTTCATTAGAATTATTATAAACTTTTAATTGATTTTTTTTATTTTTTATTTTTTATTTTTTGTGGAGAATCTAACAAAAGTATGAGATTTTTTCAAAATTTTAGAAATTTATCTAAAATCATATTTATATTAAATTAAAAATAATGATAGTATCATATTTTTGCATTCATAATCTATTTTTAGAAAACATTAGATAGTACAACTTGTATAATCAATTAGAAAATAATCTAATATTTAACTATAAAAATCCAATTTCAATGTGAGTTAAAATTTTGAAATTTTGAAATTTTGAAATCATATTAATTTTATGTAAATAAGAGGCTTTGTATAAGAAGCATGTGTTTTGTGATTTTTTTCTAACATATAGATTAACCAAATCTAATGTTATATTTTGTTCATTAACATATATATATATATATATATATATATATAATATGCTTTATTTATTAATTAGTATCATTTTTTTCAAGAAGATATATTTATTTATATATATTATCTATAACTTAAAAATACCTTATATAGTTGGCAAGCATAAAAAAATATAGAATGTAATTTTAAAATTTATCAAATGATACAAGCTCTAATTTTTAAAATCAATAAGGTTTTTTTTTTTAAAAGTCATTGATATTAGATATTATATTTTTTATAAACTAAAATAAAAAATAATAATTTAATTTTATCAAGTTATTTGATAATTTATAATATTTATTTTTTCTAATAAATTTAAAACTTATATTCTTAATATTTAAAATTTATAATAAGTTTATAAACTAAAATAAAAAATAATATAAATTATTTGATAAATATTATAATTTATAATAATAAATTTATTATAGATTCTTAATATTTAAAATAATAAATTTATTATAGATTCTTAATATTTAAAATAATAAATTTATTATAGATTCTTAATATTTAAAATTTATAATAAATTTATAAACTAAAATAAAAAATAATAATTTAATTTTATCAAGTTATTTGATAATTTATAATATTAATTTTTTCTAATAAGTTTTAAATTTTATTATTTGATAATTTATTTTTCTAATAAGTTTTAAATTTATTATTTTATAGAATAAAATTTTAAAAAAATTCAATTACAATTAATTGTATATATTTTAATTAATCACAATATTTAAATTTATATCTTATTTTGATTACCACCTTAATTTAAAAAATTATGAATGATGCATCTCCAATTGATAATACTATATAATAATCAATACCTACATTGATTACAAGGTGGAAGAGGGAAGAGAGAAAAATAAAGGAAAGGGAGAAGGAGGCAGTAACCTCTCTTGCAATGGCCTTACTAAACAATTAGCATGCCAGATCAAATGGCAAGGCACTTGTGGTTTTAAAGCATTAAGTCCTTGCAAAGAAATGTTTTTAGACATTTAATAGATAAGGTGATTTTGAAATGAGGAGTTTTTTTTGGAATCTTAGTTTTTATGGTTGAAAGAAGTACTAAGAAAGTGAGAAAGAGAGAATAAGTTAGAAATAGGAAAAAATAATAAAAAATAAGTGTTATGAACATACTATCAAGGAAATACATACTTATTCTAATAATTACTTATTGATTAGGTAGAAGTAGGTAAAATTAGATTAAAATAGATTGATTTCATAATATCTTCTAGAAAAGCTTTCTAAAAGGTGAATAGATATAGTTTTGATTTTACATGAGTTTATAGTTGACTTTTAGGTTACAAACTTGGTCAACAAGTTATTGACGTGTCACATATGTAGATGGTTTGTAGAATAAGCTAACTATGTGGCCTACATATAGAAAACATGCCTTGCAAGTTAAGACATGTGGCTTGCAAAGTCAACACATGTTGGAGGTCCTATAAAATGTCACCACATAGCTCCTAGGTAGATAATATATATAAAAGCAAGAGTAAAGTCTTCTTTACTCTTGTCAATTTGTTTCTTGCTCTAATTTAGATTGAAGAATCTTTAATTTTCTTGTCTTTTGACAATAGCCATTATAGTTTCTTTTTAATATACATGTTTTCTTATTTCTATTTTGTCATACTTCTTTGAGAAAATTTTCACTTGGTTATTTGCTTTTATCAAGTTTTTATCGTTGATAGATTAATAAGACTATACTTACAATATCAAAGCTTTGTCTTTTCTTGATTAAGAATATATTACTCTTTTTTCTTAATAAGACATAAATATATTAAAAGTTATGGATTTTCCTCTTTTAAACTAATATTATTTTTAGTTTTTCTTTATTCTTAAGTTCTCTCTTCTATTTATCTTTAGTAATATTAGACATTTTTTCTTTTCTAAATGTTATCATGATAGACCTTCTTGAAATGAAGAATGCAATGGCACAAATGCAAGAGCAATTGAGAGAATTAATACTTACAATGCATCAATTCAATTTACCACCACAAAGAGTAAGAAGAATAGGAAGGAGCAAAGATATAGAAATGATTGGAGCTACTTCAACATTTGTACCAAATCATGTCCCTTCTTCTTTGGTTGAACATCCTTTCAATGTTAAAAAACCAAAGATCGCATTGCCTAAGCAGTTTGATGGCACAAGATTCAAATTTTGAAGATTTATTAATCAAGTACTACTTGTGATTGAACTTCAACTCTAAAGCTATCCAACTCCAAGATCACAAGTTAGATTCATTGATATACTTCTTTCGAATTCAGCATCATCATATTTTTTTATCTTTTTCTTGAACAATAAGATGTAATATTGGATAATTTGAAGGCTTTTTGACGGAATTTTGATCCATGTATGGAGAATAGGATGTAATTTGTGTTGCAACCAACAAGATCCATATTTTGAGACAAGAAAATCAATCAATAATGTTATATGCTTCATAATTTTGATAATTTGCAACTAATATCAAGTAGAATGATATTGCACTTATTAGCCAATTTTTCTATAGATTACAATATGAGATAAAAAAATTGATGCTCAACTTATCTAATCCTCAAATATTGAATCAAGAAAATGAATTTATTGTGAAGTGTGATATTCACTTTTTGAATTTTGATTTGAGAGTTGCATAAATACACCTTAATGTTACTTTAATTCAATAGCAATACCAATGTCTTTTCAACACATACATTTGAAAGTAGAGGATATGCAAATTGATGCAGTACGTTTCAAACCTCTTATTGAGTAAGAAAAGACTTGTCATTGTTAGGAAGGATTGTGCTTGTATTATAGAGAATCCAAGCACATTGCTTGATATTGTCTAAACAAGCAATGCAACCACAAAATGAAGAGTACGGCTATTAAAGAAGATAGTTGAAAAATAAATTTGTTTAGCTACAATAAGAATTGTGCCACTTGAACCTTATACAATACTTAGTGAAGATCTTATTTTCTCCTCAAAATTCTTTCTTTGTTTTACATAAATATTATTTTAGGACCTAAACATCACAAAGTCTTTATTTTGTTATATTTAGGAGCCTCAGCATGTTTCTTAGATGAAGAATTTGCTAAAAGCCATAGTGTATCTTTAATGAAGAGAACTAAACCTATTCATATAAAAATCATAGATTGTCATCCATTATCTTTAAGAGATATTATTCATAAAATCTTTCTTATAGAAGTAATAGCTAATAGTCATAGTAGCTTTATAATATTTAATATCATTAGATTTCCATCTAATTCAATCATTTTAGATTTATATTAGCTAAAAAAATATAACTCTAAAATACATTCGATTTCTTGTAGCCTTGACTTTTTTAAAAGTATAACTAAGAGTTTACTTAATCAAATAGAAAGTTATATGTCTAATATAATTAAATCTATATTTATAGATTTAAGAGCTTTTTTATATGTTACAAAAGAAGGATTATCTTGTGTCATTTATGTTGTATTTTTTTCTAATGGTAGAAAGACTTTAAGTTTCATTCTAATCCAATATCAAGATTTTGAAGATATATTTGAGAAAAAGAATACAGATATTCTTTTAAAACATCATTCCTATGACTACTCAATTAACCTTCAAAAAGGAACTCAATTTTTATTTGGACCAATCTATAATTTATCACAAAATAAATTAGCTAAATTCAAAGAATATATTAAAGAAAATCTAGCCAAGAACTTTATATGCCATTCCAAATTTCTAATAGGAGCTCTAATTTTATTTGTGAAGAAAAAAGATGGATCAATATAAATGTATGTTATTTATTAAAAAATCAAAAAAATTACCATCAAGAATAAATACTTACTATTTTTTATATTTAGACTTGATTAGTTGAATCTAGCTAAGATCTATATAAAAATAGATCTATAAAGAGCATACAATTTAGTACGCATAAAAAAAAGAGATGAATGGAAGATTGTATTTTGAACTAAGTACGAACATTTTGAATACAACATCATACCTTTTGGACTTACAAATGCATCAATAGCTTTCTAACATCTAATGAATGATGTCTTTCAAGAGTTTTTAAATGATTTTTTTGTCTATTAGTTAAACAACATCTTAATCTATTTTAAGAATATAAAAAATATGAATTTCATGTTTGTCATGTATTACAAAAACTAAAAAATGTGGGA